CCTCCTGTCTGCATTCCTTTTGTCTCTAGGGCAGACCATACTCAGTTGCAGAAAAATATTAAACAACTATTTCTCAACATGTGAGGGTTGAACAATTGTTAGTGCTTACAAATACATTCTGAAAGAGTAAGAGAATTCAGCATTTAGTTTCACATCTGAAGTGCAAGATGAAAAAAATAGGCCTCCCATTTAATCCCTACCGGGCTTCTCTTTTCTCTTGAGGTATCCCCTCGGATGACCGACTCCAGAGTGGGTGGCTGCAATCTGGAGAGTGAGCAGAAGGTGGGGCAGGTGGAAGGAGCCACATTTACTGATTCACACCCTTACCTTCCCTGGAGACTCACACTCCTAACTCCAGCCTGAGTTTCCAGAAGCATAAGCTGCAGTTGATTCTAGCCAGATATGGTGGCCCATGCCTGTGATCCCAGCACTTGGGACGCCGACGCAGGAGGATCACCATGAGCTCAAAGCCAGCCTTAGTTACATAAGCTAGTTCAAGACTAGTGTGAGTTGCATAGTGAGACACTGTCTCTAAAACAAAACAAAACAAAAACAAAAACAATGCAACAGGGGCCTGTGAGATAGCTCAGTAGAATAAGCGCTTCCCTGGCAAGCCCACGGGCCTGAGTTCAATCACCAGTTCTGCCAAAAAAACAAACAAACAAAAAAACCCCAATGCAATAGATTTAGTTATAACAGTCATGTTTAAAGAAGGAAGCGTTGCTAGCAAAATTAAACCAATAATCAAGAGACCACTGTTTTACAATTTGTCTTGAAAGAGAGTGAAAAAAAAATCAAAGTGCAAACAGGAAGTGGTTAGAGCACTTCCCAGCCCACAATGAATATCACTTCTAGAAATAGTCAAATACTGGCTCAGAAAAATCCTGCTCTGGGCCCTAGGAAGTCTCCAACACATGCATGCTGTCTACCAAACCACTGAGTCAATCTTCTCTAACAGCAAGATAAGACTAAATTTTATTCAAAATCTACTCTAAAATTTCCATGTTTCTGTACCTGCAACATATTTATGAAACTCACAGCTTAACTCTGTAACCATTATTAAGCAACCACAGCTTACACACTAGCAAAAGTACTTCTCTCCCCTACACACATAAATGATGAGACTCAGGCCTACGAAGGGAGGGAGAAGCCAGAGGGTTGGGGATTCTCCCTGAGGCTAAGTGTCTTTTGGTCTCTAAAAATTATGCTTGAGCAAATAGCTCCTTCTGGTCTCACCCAGAAGTCCATTTTTTCCCTGGGGTCTAGATTCAGTCTCCCAAGGAGGCTGCTGCCCAGAACCCTTAAGTGGAGACATACGTTTCATGCATGTTCTCCTGGAAGGCAAAAATTCCTGTGTCTCATCTGACCCAGAGAGACATTACAGGTGACATGTGTTCCTCATCTAAGATGATTTCGCTGTATTTGGCCCAGTTTAAATGTTAATTGTTGGATAGGAGGGAAAGATTGAGACAGTGCAGGATTTCTCTCCCTCTAATCTTTAGCAGAAACGTGCCTCCAAAAAAGGAAAGTACAGAGTGGCAGAAAAAAATCAGAAATAAGATCAGAAAAAGGAAGTCATATTGAGATGGTGAGTTATTGAGATCGTTTCCCCTGGATCATCACCTGGAGCCTGGAGGGGCAAGAGCTGGGAATCTTCAGAGCTCAGCCTGCCTCTCAACAGTGGAAGATCAGACCAGAAAGGAAACTGAGGCAGGACAGGCTCAACACTCCCGCTACAATGTAGAAGAGGGGTTGGGCCAGACTGTCCCAATGGAACCTGTCCCACAAGTCTTAAGAATGGCTGTCGACCTATCACCAATAACTGGAAGTTGGGGGCCCTGAGATTTATTAATAGGAGCAAATATTTCCTACCTATAAATTAGATTTCATAAAAAAGAAATTCACATTTTGGTTAGTATCAAAGTCTTCTCGGGGACATGCTAACATTACTGTTCCTCAGGGCTGTTGTCTAAAATAAGATAATAAAGCACACTAGTCAAACAGGTCAGGTGAGGGGCTCCAAGAAATTCAGCAACTAGTAAGTCCAAATGTAGCACGTACAAAACAGGAATACAAGGCCATGTCTACAGAAGCAGAACATCCCATGAAGAGGTGTCATAATCTTCCCATGTTCTTAACTTCCGTGTATCATCATCTTAAACAAAAACAATGTGTAAACAGGCAAGGCATAAAAATTCAAGGCACTAGCAATTGACAAACAAGGATGACATAATTTTTTTTCATTTTACGTATTTGGTACTGAGTCTCACTACGCGGCTCGGACTCATAGAGAATCCTTCTGTTTTCAGCTTCCCCAGTGCTGGGATTACAGGAGTGTGCCACCACACCCGGACTCAGTTGCCAGCTCAGTGTGGCTGGCGTGGCTTGGGGGACTGGGGATCCAACAAGGATGACAATTTTTGATTACCTAAATAAGTGATAATCCAGAATCCATGAAAGAAAAGCAAGCTCTTACCTCCTTCCAATTATCTCAGGAGGCCCTTCAAATCACAGAGGGGAAGTAAATATAACTCCCAACGTGCTGGATGTCAGATGCATCGAGTTTGTGTTCCCCAAATTGAAGATTGAATGCTAAGGAAGAGCAGGAGTTAAAAGTAGGAAAACGTTATTGAGAGCAACAGAAGGGGAGCCGAAAGTGGGCTGCCAGTGAGCCCACTTCTCTTTTTTTAATTTTAATTATAATTTTATTTTTTCCTACTTCTTGAAGAAGGAAGTTTTAGAGAGCAAAATCACGAGGTGGGTACAAGGTGCCACAAAACTATAATCAGCCAGTAAGATCACAAGCGCAGCTGCCTAGATAATGTTGACCCCGTGAGGAGCAAGTCACCTAGCACGTGGGCATGGAAAGAACAAGGGCCTTTCTGGGCAGAGATGAGTCAGGTGGTTCTGGGCACCCACCTGCGTGACCGATGTCCATGTGGACTATTGAGCCAGGTGATGCCAATCGCAGTCTATTGCCCATCCCTGGGGAGGCATGTAGGCCTGGTCATTCCATCCTTGTCTTGTGGCCTGGCCTTCAGCAGAAGTGCCTCCAGCCACAACTGTAATGTGTCCTCGTCTTCTGCATTCACACCTTGGGGGGCCCTGTCTAACTGCCTCTTACTAGTTCCGCCTAACTTAGCTGTCTGTAATAAGGCCATGCGAACAACTGGTCCTTATTTCTCTCCTTATTTGTCCCAGGCCCAAATTCCCACATTCCCATCCTCACAGGACAGAGCCCCTGCTTGTCTGTGTGTGGGCAGTCACAGGCTGTCCCGAACATACTTGGGGGTTTTCTTGGTAATGTGTGGACCAATCTGTGCTCTCTGTGCTTTCTGGGGCACATGCCCAGGATGGAGGCTTCAGGGCTTTGCAGTTTGGAGGCGGTTGCTGGTCTCCTGATGATAGATGTCATAGGCCCAGGAGCCAGGCGCCTCCCACACTACCCACGAAGGCAGAAGTGAGACAACCAGTGGGGCCCACTGAGTTTTCCTGAGATGACCACAGGGCAGAGCTTTAGGAGAGCAGAGGATCAGGAGCGCCTAAGAGGAGCCACCAACCCAGCCAGCCTCTCCTCCCGGGGTGGCATTGTGCTGCACTGCGCAAGCACCCCGCTTGCTGTCCTCAGGATTTGATTTATTCTTGCATTTCCTTCTCTAGCGTTTGATGTAAATTCCCACCCCTTTTTCTTTTTTCCATTATAACTTTTTCTCAGTTAAGTTTCCACTGTGCTTTGGCCTGTTGTGCTGTTTCCTTGTGAACTCCAGCCCCTTGACTCCTCCCTGTGCTTCTTGCCTCTGACCCTTTTCCCTGGTGGCAACTCCTACCTCAGAGAACCCTCAGGGATGGGACTTCTGTGAGCAGAGGGATGGACAGTGGGGGACTCCCTTCCCTTCTCTCCACACTCTCTCCCTGCTTGTCCCCCATTCCTGCAGAGGTGGGAACACAGCCAGAGGAGGCTAGCCCTGTGCATGTCCCTGATGCCTGTTCTCAGCGGCACAGGAAGTGGTCCCATATCTAGTGTACATTAGGATGACCAGGAAGCTTGGAAAATGACACCATTCCTGGGGCTCAGGATTCAGGGCCTCATCGGGGCGTGTTAGTCAGTGTGATTCTAGGCTGTCAGCCTGCCTGTGGCTCCCCAGGCCCTTTGATGTAGAGCAAAACAGATCCTCAGGTAGGGCTGAGGGCGACAGGAGAGAACAAGGCATCAGGTAAGGGCCTGGAAGGCAGGGAAAGGTCGAGAAGCTTTGTGTATAGAACTGGAGCCACTGTCCTTAGAAGGAAATGATGGGCGCCTGGAAGGCTTAAGGAAGGCAGGAGCCTGCTTGGGAGCCCCTGGAGTGTGACAAGGCCAGGACACAAGGGGTCATCCAGTTCCTGCGTCCTGGGAACACAGACCACAGCCACAGCCTTGTCCTCCTGAGGGGCTTGCAGCCCCCCTCCCCGCACTCTGCAGGGCTCCTCAGTTCCCTCGCCTTGGTGTTCTTTGCCTTTGGGATGTTGTTCCAGCTGTTAGGTCACGACACAAACAGCCGGCCAGCTGACATAACAGCGACAGCTGAGGCTTAGGTGCCAGGGTGTTTTCCCCAGTGAGGACAGTGTCCTCTCCAGACTTGTTTCTTTTCATTCCATAGCCTTAGTGGAGGTGGAGGGTAGGCTCCCCACTTTTCAGAGAGAGGGTTCTGAGACCCACATCTCTAGAGCTCTCCTGTGTCTGAATTCTTGTCAGGGATAAGGAAGAGCGGACTCATCCAAGCTTTGGTACCACACCCATCTTTGTTCTGGGGCCTGGGCGCACTTGCCTACCCTCCACCAAACCTTCACATTTCTCTTTGTTTCTTCCTGTGGTGCTTCACACACCCATGCAGGGCCCAGGGAGAAGGGCCACCAAGGGAGTGGGGCAGCAGGGCTGCTGGGGCCGGCTCAAGGCTGTCTTCCCACAGAATGCAAAGGGCCACTCTCCAGGAGGTCAGTCTTCTTGCCGTCTCCCTTCACAGGTGTGGATGGATGCGGGCACGCAGATCTTCTTCTCCTTTGCCATCTGCCTGGGCTGCCTCACAGCCCTGGGCAGCTACAACAAGTACCACAACAACTGCTACAGGTGATCAGGGGAGCGGGTTCGGACCCACACTGGCTCATACATTTGCCCTTGTCACACCCCTGCTTCCATGCCAAGTTGCTCGTGGGAGCTCAGTGGAATCCACTGCAGGATGCGCAAAGGGGACACTTCTGGAAAGGTGGGAAAGTAGCAATCAGCTGGGAGAGCTGAGGAAGGATCTGCTGCTCAGGCTAGGGCAGAGATTAGAGGGTTAAGAACACTAAGCAATACTCAACAGCTTCATATCTGTCATGTGGTGGAGCTCCATAAACGTGCCCCAGCAAACCCTGAGTCCTGGCCAACTTCCACCTTGCCTCCCGGGTGTACTTCCCAGGGGCCCCTCCCTCATATCACGTCCTGCCCCCTGGTTCCTTTCTGCCTTCCTGATTCCTTCTCAGAGAACTGAAGCTAAATGCAATTAGCTGACATACAGGTGAAAAACATCCTATTGTGCATTTCAAAGATGAAATTGAGGTGTCTGGGATTACCCATGTCATGCTAGATGGGCCTAAGTCAGAGCAGTAGTCTCCAGAAGTGTGGGGGCAGCGTGCGTGGGAGGGGGCTGAGAGCATCATTCTTTTAGGAGCGTTGTGGTTCATCTCACACCTGAGCCAAGCCAGTGGTGGGGAGGTGGAGCACAGTCAACACTTAGAAGTCACCTGGACTTGCCAGGGAGCCCTGCCCTGGCCTCTGTGAGGGCCCAGTGAGTGTCTGCCTGGAGGAGCCGTGGCCCCTTGGTGAGCCCATTGCCTCCTTCTCCCCACCTGCCCCCCACAGGGACTGCATCGCCCTCTGCTTCCTCAACAGCGGCACCAGCTTCATGGCCGGCTTTGCCATCTTCTCCATCCTGGGCTTCATGTCCCAGGAGCAGGGTGTGCCCATTTCCGAGGTTGCTGAGTCAGGTGAGTGCCATGGGGCAGTGCCCACCAGTTCTCCATGCTGGGGATCCAAAAATGTTACTCAAAAAGTTTCAGATTTTGGACCATGTTTGAATTTCAGATTGGGAAGCTCAGCTGGCAGATTCTATACAAATATTCCCAAGTCCAAAAATACTCCAAAATCTGAAACACTTCTGGTCCCAAGCGTTTTGGATGAGGGATGTGTCATGCACGGCATGAAGCCTTTTGTCATGTGATGCAAACCCATGGGGTAGGTGCTACCACTGTCCCCACTGTCCCTGGGTGGGAGTTGAGATTTGGGGGAGCAGACAACCGCCTATTGGTCTTCTGCATCTTCCAGGGTGAAATCAGGCTCGGGTCTGTAAGCTCGCTTCTTCCCCAGGAGTGGCTGAAATGGGCATTCATGCTCTTGAAAGGATGTGTGCCAGTGGCATTCTAGAAGTAAGGCCAGGCCACTAGCTGGAGGGTGAAGGGTGATAAACTGGAGGCCCCAGGCTGAATCTCACCCTTGAGGTACTTTCTTTGGTACCAACAAAGTGACAGCCTCAGCCATGGAATGTTTAAGTTCCTTCATGTTTCACGCCAGGTCAGCTCCGTAGGTTTATCTGGCCTGCTGGCTCCTGCATTCCTTTTAAGTTGGACATTTCTGATTTGAGGCAACAGATCTGGAGGCCCAGAGCCCTTTGAGGGAACATCCTTTTTAGCCAGGGCCTATAGGTTCTGTTCTCCCTGGTGAGCATACAATGGTTTGGTGCCTTGGAAAGTTGGGTGCCAGGTAGGGGTTTGCTCGGCTTGGCCTGGGTTGGGATGGTGGGGGCTGCTGGTAACTTTGGGTTGGTGAGGTCTGGAGCCGCCTCAGCATGGGGCTGTGTCCTCTGCTCCACCTTAGGCCCTGGCCTGGCTTTCATCGCCTATCCCCGGGCCGTTGTCATGCTGCCCTTCTCTCCTCTATGGGCCTGCTGCTTCTTCTTCATGGTCATTCTCCTGGGACTCGATAGCCAGGTATCAAGAGGTGGCCTCTCGGAGCCGGAGAGGTGACAGGTGTGTGGGCTGGGGGAGGGAGTGTGAAAGCCTGAGGCTGAGCTGTTTGCCCCATGGGAGCAAAGTTGGGGATGGGGCAACTGTCAGAGTGGGTGCCCTTGGGGGATCTAGAGTAGCTTGCAGGGGGGGTCTGGACCTAACCTCACAGGGGCGGCAGCTCTGGGCTGGAGTCAGAGCGGCTGGCAGGGCTGCCTCTGGGATCCAGGACAGAGCTGGGTGACCCAGTGTGCCACAGCTGCTCTCTTTCCCTCCAATCCTTTTGCCCTGTCGTCCAGTTTGTGTGTGTGGAGAGCCTGGTCACTGCACTGGTGGACATGTACCCCCAGAGGTTCCGCAGGAAGAACCAGAGGGAGATCCTCATCCTTGTGGTGGCTGTCATTTCCTGCCTTTTGGGACTGGTCATGCTCACAGAGGTGAGGGCCAGGGAGGCTGGAAGGGGCCCCAGTGAGGAGGAGCCACAGCAACAGTGTAGTCAGCTGCACTGTCAGAGTGGCTGGGACGCCCTCCTTGACCCCACAGAAGGGATGGGTGAGGGGAACTTGGCTCCATGGAAGGCAAAGAGACATAGAAAGCATTGGGGAAAGCTGCCTCTCCAGCAAGACCCTATGCGTCCCTAGGCAGTGGAACCAAGCTCAGTTTCACACAGGGACAGGTGGCACCTGTGTTTGTCTCAGGGGAGAAGTGGGGTGGTTGACAATACCAATGACAACTCCATCCCAACCTTTTCTCAGAAATGTTCACTCCATAACTTGGGCTTCTGGAACCTTCCTAAGTGCTCTCAGGGACACTCGAACAATAACTGCCTGAGTGTAATCATCTTTTGCCTGAAAGCAATACCATACCAGTTATTTCCCATATCTGCCCAGTGTTTTTATGGCTTATAAAGACATTCTCTTTCGGTAGCTGTCTTCTGGGATTTCACCAAGGCTGCCCTGGGCCCCACAGCTCTGAGGCTGCGGGGCACGGGGATAAGTCTGTCTGTCTCCTTGGGATAATCTCCCCTGTGCAGGGTGGCATGTATGTGTTCCAGCTCTTTGACTACTATGCAGCCAGTGGCATGTGCCTCCTGTTCGTGGCCATCTTTGAGTCCATCTGTGTAGCTTGGGTTTATGGTGAGTGGCTTTTCCCCAGATCCTTACCCTGGTATCTCTGCCCCTTTGGCGCCTTTCAGCAACATCTGCTGCCCACACCCACGTTTTCTCAAGACCCCCAAGCGGCTGGAAGGGCCCCCCGAAGTTGCCTGGGCCTTGAGCTCCCACCCGCACTAGCTGTACCCAGCCCCTTCAGGCAGGTCTCATTCTATCCTCTCCAAATCAGGGTGTGGCTGTCTTTCCCTACACCTAGTTCTACAGGCCGCCATTTAGGCTGTGAGTCCTAGGGAAAAGGACTCTAGCACTGCTTTGGAAAGACAACTGTGATATCTTGCACGTACTGGTCCATGCCCCCTCACCTGTATGGCCCCCTTCCTGATCCTTCCCTTCCTCCCTCCCTTCTCTGTGGCAGGAGCTGGACGTTTCTATGACAATGTGGAAGACATGATTGGCTACAAGCCATGGCCTCTTATCAAATGCTGCTGGCTCTTTTTCACACCAGCTGTGTGCATGGTAAGGAAATGAAGGGACAGAGACAGATGACAGGAGGGACTGAAGGTGGTAGCGGGGGTGGGGGTAGAGGCCATTAGCTCTGCAGTGGAGTTCTCCTTAGAATTTGAAAATCCCCTTAGATTTTCATTCCTCCTCCCATTAAAGCCTGGAAATTTACAGCAAGATAGAATCTTCCTTTCCATTTCACAGAGGGATGAACTGAGGCCTGCTGCCGTCAGACAGCTTGACCAAGAGCCCAGTGTATTCTAGTGTCCCAGGCAGGACTTAAACCCAAAAGTTGGGCTGCTCAGGATAACATTAAAAACCACATCCACCATGATAGCAACAGTCCTAGAGGGCCTGCTACGTGCCCGGCACAACGTACCTTATTTACATACATGAACATGTTACTTCCTGAAACTTGATAAGGCAAGAATCACAGTGACATGCATTTCACAGATGAGGCTGAAGTGAAAGACGTAAAGCAACTTAAGAAGTGACGGAGTTGCGGAGAGCCGGGACTCACACATAGGAAGCCTGGCTCCGGAGTCGGAGGCTTGAACCCTGGTGGTGTTGCCCCTGGGCTTTCTGCTGCTGTCAGCAATTTCTCAGGGCTGCTGAGTGCAAGCTGGAAATGCGAAAGGCAGAGAGGGAGGCAGGCTCTACCCGGAGGGACTCACAGCTACCTCTGTCTCTGTTCACAGCTCTGCCTGCCTCCTAGTGCAGGAGAGCTAAGCACCGTGGCGCTCCCAGGCAGGTCTCCCTGTCTGGCCTGGAGCCAGCCATGAGCAGAGGTGCTCAAGTGTGGGTCCTTCGATGGTCTGGTGGGTGTGTGGGCTCTGAACAGAAGGTGGTATAGTTGGGAGGCTGACAGGAAGCATGCCAGGGCTTGGAGTAGGAACCCTATCAGGTCAGCCATGGGGTGGAGTGCTGAGGGCAGGGAGCCCCCAACTTCTTTCTTTTCCACTCTCACCCCAGGCCACCTTCCTGTTCTCCTTGATCAAGTATACGCCGCTGACCTACAACAAGAAGTACAAGTACCCATGGTGGGGCGATGCCCTGGGCTGGCTCCTGGCACTGTCCTCCATGGTCTGCATTCCTACCTGGAGCATCTACAAATTTGTCAGCCTCAAGGGCCCCCTCAGAGAGGTAGGAAGGGTCGCCCTAGAAGGATAGGGGCCTCTCTTGACAAAGCAAGCTCATGGAAGGCTGGTGGGGGCCTGAAGGGATAAGAGACAGTGCTCAGAGTGGCCAGGGAGTTGGCACACAAGGTGGGTATGGAGGAGACAGGCGGATGTCGGTGCTGAGGGACAGCGGCATAGTCCTCACTCATCACATGACAGCCATGGCCACTGTCCTTGCAGAGAGTCCGCCAGCTCTTGTGCCCAGCTGAGGATCTGCCCCAGAGGAGCCAAGCAGGGCACCCCACCCCTGCCACACCCAGGACATCTCTGCTTCAACTCACAGAACTGGAGTCCAACTGCTAAGGGCAGATAGCACCTGTAGGCCTGGCTGGGGACATCTGCAGGCCATGGGCAGAAGGCCCCATGTGCCTTTCTGCTCTCACCCTGGGCAGATGACAGAGGGGTTGTTTTGGAGTTTGCCTTGGGAGCTGGGTGCCTCTCCTCCCCACTTCCCTGTTCCACCCATGTGGTTGCCACCAATGAAGGTGCCAGGGTGCAGAGTACCTTCTGAGGCAGCTTGGGGAGCCCGTGGGGGTAGTGGGGTGAGAGCAGCCAACTCTGGCCTCTTCCCTACAGTCCATTAAAATTCCATCTTCTTCCCTGAATGCCTGCATGCGGTCTGTTTCTGGCCTCAGCCTGGACCTTGCTTACCTCCCCCTGCACAGCTGTGGCTGTGGGAGTGGTTCCCTCCTGTCTCACTCACAGTCACTGAGTTCTCTTCCTTGATGACGTCGTAGCAGAGGTGATGGCAAGGTGTGTGGGCCCCAGGAGGCGCCTCATGGTCTTTACCTGTGCTTAGTGGGATGAGAGGAGGTAGAAGGAGGATGAAGGAGACTGGGTTCCGAGCTACAGAGAGGGGAAGATGCTGTTTCCCAGGCTGCACCTCTGCTGCCCTGTGTCAGCTGGCCCACCCAGCCTGGCACAGAAGGGTGGGGGAGGGCACGAGCCAGCTGATGGCATGGCCTCTGGGTAGATGTGGGAGCTGGATTATGAGCTAGCAGAATGTCCTACTTCTCTTTAACTGGATGCTGTCATCTTCACATGTGGCCACAAGGGGGTGGCACTTCCATGACCTCTGCTCTGCCATCAGCCCGAGCGGCTTGAGATGGGTAGGCTGTAGAGAGGAGCCTGTGGAAGGCAGAGTCCTCTCAGGGCTCAGAAGGTGGCCTTGGCCTCAAAGGTCCACAGGCGTCCCCATAGCTCGCCATCTTCCCCAGGACCATGGGACGTTGAAGCAGCCTCCCCTGCCCCCAACCCATGAGCACCCGTGCTGCTTTCCTGCCCAGCCCTTGAACCCTGACCAGCAGCCACCTCAGGGTGGCATGGTGCATGCGTGTGGAAGTGCCTGGGCCCACAGTTTCTCCTCTGTGTCTCCCCACCCCCTCATCAGTAGACTCTGCTGGTGCCTTTGGGGTGGTTTTGTGTCCAGAGCTGCTATCAAGGCTGCACAGGGTGCTCAGCATCAGTTTTCTGTTATTTTTCCTCCTTGTCAGTTTGTGAGCAAATGCACTGCAACATCTGCCTGTCTTCAAGTTTTCATTTCTTGCTGGGAGAGTTTATAACAATCAGCAACAGACTAGCACGCGCGTGTGCATGCACACACACACACACACGTCCTTTCTGGACAGGACACCAGGCTCAGCCACGTTTCTTAGGAGAAACAAATTGCTGGAGAAGTGCCTAAAGCTGGAGACAACACACATCTGGCCTCTCCATCTGTCCCACGTTGTTTCCAGAACACCACTGTGCAGAGCTGTGTGACGCTGTCCCCACTTATGGTGTCAGATACGATTTCTTAAACAAACAAGGCAGCTGCTATGAAAGATAAGAGCACAACGCTGAGAAGAGTATGGGCAGGAAGGAGCTGGATGGCGGAGCCTGGGGGGCCTGGAAAAGCATCCAGCCTCCTTCTGATCAACACTTCAAGAATCTGCTGGGCCTGGGAAGGTGCTGCGTTAGGGATTTGTGTGCTGTTTAGGAGACAGGCCTGAATGGTGGCCGGCCTATGCAGTGTGAGAATCACCCACTGGCCCAAGAATCGGGGCATTGGTTCTTGTCTTCATTTGCACCTAATGCGCCTGGTTCTTGTCTTCATTTGTGTCTAATGTGCCGTATGGCCTTGGGGAAGCTCATATGATTCATACTTCTTTGCCAGATAAGGGCAATGCTGTGCCTTGGCCTACATGGGTTTGCTGTGGGGCTCAAACGAAGGGGAGAGCCCTTTCAGTCTCTCGGTGTCATTAAATCCATTGGGGGAAACAGATGGGCCAGAGATGCTCTGACCACCAGGAAGGGAGACAGCTACAGGCGGAGCCTAGGGCCCGGCCTAGCTTTGGCCTGGGGAGTGGAAGAGGTGGGGCTGGGGTGGAAGAGGGTTGTTTCAGCCCCATCCACTTTTGCTGCACAGAGGGGTAGAGCCTGATGTCTGTAGCCCCCTCCTTGAGGAAAAAAGGCAGGGCAGCAAGGGGAGCCCGCTCTGTCCAGAGGCCACACCTACTAGAGCAGGAGCAGGCCGGAAGGGCTTTGGGGCAGGTGAGCACTGAGCACGGAGACCAGAAACCCTTGGCGGGAGGGAAGAACTTGGGAGGCGCTGAGCACACCAGGTTGCCTTGGGGCTCATGCTGCACACGTGTGTGCCCACGCCTCAGGTTCACACATGCAGACAATACACACACAGCCCTTGTTGTCCTTAGATAAATGTGTACATGTGCATAGACTCAGGGACCCCACAGTCAGCCAAGCACGTGCTTTGTCTGTGTGACCTAGGGCAGGTTAACCTCTCTGGTCCTTTGTTTCCTGCTATAAAAAATTGGAAATGATATTATTTGTGTCATGGTGTTATTGAAGCCCACAGGCGAGTACAGGACACATTTGAGCAGATTCTTTTTTTTAAAAAAAAAAATAATTTTATTGAGAAACAAATAGCAATGAGACAGTTTGAAAACCAATTACTAGCAGTTTCAATAATTAATACATTGCATATTGGTGTCTTAGTGGTTATTCATTGTACAAGATGCAGACATGATATCTTGTCCACAAACACTATTAGAATAAATACCTCCATTGAATTAAGAGAATTCAGCTATATATCTATCTTATTTTGAATATACAGATACAAAATGGTCATTCATTTGTATCCCCCTTTTTTGTTTAGTTTTGTCAGAAATGGGTATTATATTGTCATTTAAATATTGTAGGTGCATGAATTCAGCAAAATATTCCAATATAGTCCAGTAGTACATAATAGTAGTGGGTTTTTTGTAAGACTGGCAATGTCAGCAGTTGTTGACTTGAGTCTTTTGTAGCTCAGCATATTAATATGGATTTACTTTTTATACTTCGTTTTCATACTTTTCTGCTGGATGGTTAAGACCAAGATGGGGGGGGAAGACCAAGATAAAGCAAGAACTATATAACAAGAAATGTAACTTTTATATCTGATAAGGTCAGTCAAATCCCCTCAGGATTTACTCTGAAACCCTGTACTGCAGTTTGTAGATCCTTTGTCAGTGTCAGCCATGTGGATGAGTCATGGCCATTGCTTGACCAATGTGCTCTCTGTGAAAGCCTGAGAGAATGTTTTCTCTCCATGTGGCTCTGCTTAGCCACACTCTACATTGTCGATCACATTCCTCTGTGGCCCCATAATCTCCATGATCAGAAAATTTGGGAAACTACTGAGTTACATGATGTTACAGTACAGGTTCTCCTATGTCCTGAGTCTTCACTGACCTTGAAAGGCTAAGGCCAAAATGTTGGCTGTCCTTGCAACCCTTCTTTTTCTCTAATTTTTGGTCTGCAAACTTAGGTTGTTAACCCTCCTGAGCAGAAGCTTATTATTGTTACCCTACAAAATAGGCAGTTGAGCTTAACCTCACTATCTGTCTAAATATCAAACATCTTAAGCATAACATGAAACAGATATTTCCCATCAAGTATTGATATGTTAAACTTTAAGTCCCTACAGAATATGAAAAAATTAAAAACATAGGAATAAACAGTTACATATTTTACACAGAAATTTAGAAATCTAACCATATACAACATTGTAGCAGCAGATTCTTTATTTACCCTGGCTCCAGGCCCCTACACTGGGCTGTCAGTGTGACAGAGATGTTCTTGCTGTCTGAGGTTACACTGGCCCCGGGAAGGAGGCTATACACTTGTGGAGTCCAGCATATTTGCTAGAAAGAAGAGAAAGCTGCAAACATTCTGTGGCCCCCGTGTCCCGCTCACTAAGCAATATCGTTCGTTCAGGAAAAGCGGGACCTGAGCCCTCCCTGCTCTAGTCTGTCTCTTAGTTCTAAGAAAACAACGCTTTCCCAGAAACTGAGATACCATGTTTCCCCCAAGGAGCACGCATCCATCTGCGCACCCACCACCCATCCATCCGTCTGGTAAATTCCAGGTGCCAGTTTTGAGGCAGTGCTGGATCCAGTGCTGGAGGAAGAGCAAAGGCTTTTGAAGTCAGATTCCTACCCTTTTGATATTCATGGCCTGTGAAGCAGTATGCTACAGCGGAACTAGTGTAGAATTTTGGAACCAAGCATAGGTCTTTGGAAACAAATCCCAGCTTCACCATTGATTAGGGCATCGCCTTGGGGCAAATCGTGAGGTTCTGTTCACCTCAGCGTTCACTCTGTCAAGTGGGGCTAACGATGCCTGTAGTCTAAGGTTCTTAAGGAGATTATGCCAGGTAACATGCAGAGCATACAGCAGGGGTGAGCTGCTCAGGCAATGGCTCCCATTCCGGGTCCACTGAACACTCACAGGGTCGGAAGAAGGTAGCGAGGAGAACACCTGTAGAGTCTGTTGGTTCTCATTATAGTGAGATCACTGATTCATTTAATCCTATTTCTTCTCAGCTTTCGACCCTTCCTAGTATGGAAACTGCCCAGACTTCGCTAGACTTCACAGGATCCCTACCTTTAGCAAGACAGGCTTTCTGGCTTCCACAGCTTTCCCATTGCTCTGAAGACTCAGAGGTGTTGGGGACCATGGGGATTGGGGTAGAGGTGAATAAAGAAGGGTTCAAAGACAGTGAGACTAAGGCCAGAGGCAACCAGGTAAAGAAGGACTGGATCACTCTGTTAGAAAAATCAAACTTGGCTCCCTGAGAGGAGCACAGGACGATCAGGCCAGGCAGAAGGCTGAGTTTGGAGGGGACAGTGCCTTAATCACTTTCCTCTCTGCTGAGACACAATACCCTTCACCCACAAGTGAAAGGAGGAGAGGCTTATAGAGATTTCACCCCGTAGAACACTGGATCCAAAGCAGGATGGCATGGCAGAGGGGTACAGGAAAGGAGGATTGATTAAGACATAGAGGACTTAAAGCAGTCAAGGATGGAACTGGGAGGGAGATAAACCCTTATAGGCCACACTTCTGGTGGCCCTCCTCTTCCTACCAGACCCTACCTGCTAGCAGCAGGTCAGCTCTAAGCCCCCATACTCTAATCATCTTCTGAAGGTCCCACCTAGGATCACATGAGGTTTAGTGGGGCATCTCAATCTAAACCGTAACAGGTGAGTGTTTTGCTCTTGGGTAGCTATTTTCTGCTTTGGGCACTGGTGTCCTCTCCATAGTAAGCTCTATGGTCCATATGTGGTGGATCAAATGTACAGGATCCAGGGAGATGCAGCCACACGGATCACACAGGCCAGCTGAGCACAGGGTTGACAGGTTCTGGGGGTCTGGGCCCCCTCTGCTAGGGCTGCCCCCAGCCTGACTTATGGTTTCACAGAGCTGAGCCATCTAAGAACTGAAACTCACCCCAGTTTTTTTTTCACAATGGGGAACCCTATGCGACCCGGCTGAGGGGCCTGAGGGATGCTAAGCGGGGATGTCTCATGGAAAATTACAGACCAAAAGCTGCACTTCACACCCCTCTGCCGCTGGGATGTTCTCAAAGACAAAGAGGAAGCACACGTACAGGGAAATTTCCCTTTCTCCCACAACTTCCCCTGTCTCCACCCACCGACAGCTGCAGAAGCACCTCTGTCATTTAAAGGAAGAGCCGTGGGACAGTCCTGCTCCTTGCACTGTGACCACGTGCCTGGGACTTGTGACAAAGACCCTCTTCTGGAGAAGCCCTCTGGGTCCCCCTGCACATGACCCACACATTTGGCCCATACCTTTCACCACTGACAGCTGCCTGACTGCTCCGGATGTGTCCTTGTGTCACTGGCCTCAGCGCGAGAGGTGACAGGGTGCTGCTAGTGCTCTTCAGGACCAGACCCTCCAGGGTCCCAGCTTTTGTGACCAGAGGACCCACAGTGAATGCCAGCAACTCTTCGTGAGTACTTGGGATACCTACACAACTTGCTATGTGATTTTTCACTCTCACAGCAGCGCTGCTGAGGAGAGATTACAGAATGGGAGACTCAAACTGCAGTCTCTATCTAGTGACCAGACTGGCACACAGCAGAGCAGGAGGGGAGGGGAGGGTCTGTTGAGCCCTGTCCCCAGGGCCTTGATACTCCACGCTCTTTCATTTAGGCCTGGCCAGAATACTTTCTCTAGGAAAATCCCAAGGAGGGATAGAGGTTGCGAAGGACTAGAGCTTGCCGAGAAGCCACACAGGGTAGGCACTGGGTGGAAAAGTCCAGCTGTGAATCACCCTCCTCCTGAGCCTGCCACTGAAGCCAGCTCCCTCCAGAGCTGTCTGTCCCCAGCCTGGTGTCAGTGGTGCCCACCCTGCTGCTGTGGTAAGAGAGGGCTGTGCCTGAGAAAGGATGGTGTCAGGGCACTCAGAAAAGGCAAAGGGACTAAGGGGAACGGTGGGCAACAGGAGGAGGGCAGAGAGGCCTGACAGCAGGGTGAGAGCCTTCCCAGCTCTGGAGGAGCCTGGAGGGCAGCAGCCAAGAAGACAACAAGGGCGAGATGAGGTGGTGGGGATGGGGTGGGGGTGGGGACAGAGGCCTGACTGCCCGAGCCCAATCCCGGCTAATTCTGCTTCACAAAGTTCTGGTCTACATCCTCCTGTTGCTTGTGGCATTTCTGTATCCCTTTGCTTCCCAGAACACACACGCACGCACACGCGCGCACACACACACACACACACACACACACACACACAAAGGCTTTCTGTCCAGAAGTCTCAGGACAATTCCAACAGGATTCTGCACTGGGAAGAACAAAAATGAGGTGGAGCACCTCTCCCCTTTAGGCCTGGCTCTTGGCACTGGCTAGCCCATTTCCCTGGGACAGACCATGCCTGGAGCTGAACAGATTGTAGGGACTGGGGGACAAGGGCAGTGACAAGGAACAGGAGAGTGGCTGGGCAGAAAGTGAGGCTCTGACTGCTGCCCCAGAGGGAGGGGTAGAGCTAGACCTAGAAGGTAGAACTTCACAGAGCTGTGTCTGAGTGGGGAACAGGGCTCTGGGAGCCCCCTCAGCCAGAGGAAAGGTGTGCTATGCGATAATGCGGGCACAGGGGAGCCACCCAAGGTCTCCTCAACACCCCTTCATCGGGTTGCTCAGGCACAGCAGGAGAGGGTGTGCTCCAGGGATGGGGAGCAGCCAGGGCACCAGCAGGAGGGTGGTCACCTGACTGAGAGGGAGGCGAGCAGACAGTGCCCAGGAGGTGGGAGGGAGGCTGGACAGGAGGAGCCTCGGGGCACTGGCAAGGCTGGCTCCGCGGCAGTCTGAGTTGTCCACCGCCGCCGGCACTCCACCCTCCCCCTCTCAGCAGGCTGCTGCGGAAGCCTAGTATCTCCCTGAAGGAGGAAGCTGCCTGCCCCTGAGTTGGGGGAGGCCCAGCCGGGGCAGTGGCCAGCAGAGCCCAGCTGCTACTGGGGCGTGAGGGGCTACAGGCGAGTCAGGCTCTGGGGCCATGCACATAGGTATGTGTGTGCAAAGGGACGTGACGGGCGATGGCACCAGTGTGTATACAGGAGCGGGTACTGGCATGTGGGGTGTGGGTGGCTGGGTCGGGGCCGGGCCATTCCTGTGCTTCACTGGGAGAGTGGCACGTGGAACAGCATTCTCCTTTGCTGGAGCCCAGGCAGGCTTCTGCCTGCCCACACCGCTCCTGGCAACAGCTGTGACTTTACACCCCTTGCCTCTTAGAGACTAGAGCCCAGCGTGCACGTGGGTGTCTTGGCTCCTGGGGGGCCTCAGATATGGTAAGGTCTGTTTCCTGTCCCCTGTCCTCTGTCCTAGCTTAGCAAAGCAGATGGTAGCCTTGCAGGGAAAGGGACGGTGGCAGAAGTAGCTGGGCTGGGTTGGGCCCTGGGAAAAGGAGATCTTCAGACGGCACTGTTGTTAAATAATTCCCAGCAAGTGGGCCCGCCGCTAGACTGGAGCCGAGCATGGTGGGGGTGGGGAGGCGCCGTCTGCTTACTTTTAAAAGTAACTCAAAAAGGAGAGCACTGGGCGGCTTTTCTTGGTGTCCAACAGCCTCCAAGACGTTCTCTCGGTGTCTCACTCAAACCCCTCCTGCAGCAGGCTCAGCCTATTTCCTCTTGGCTCACCCTGGCTCGGGGCCTGCTTTCCTTTTCACTCATTCTTGCTTTTCGTTCTGTTATATCCGTTTTTCATTCTTACCCACGGGTTATGGTCCTCCTAGCAATCCTTTCATTTAAAAGAATTACAGTACACTATGCCTGTGTCTGCTCACCACTCATGCCATCTTTTCTTTCCTTCCTCCTCCTTGATACAACTCAAATCCGGGGCTCCTGCTGCATTCCAGGGCTTCCTGCCCCTGCTGTCCTCCAGCTGTCCTTTAATTGTACCTCTCCCAAGTCCCCTTGTCCAGCCAGTGGGGACCTTGGTCTTGCAGTAGTCTACCTGGTCTGGAAAGAGTAAGGCTGGTCCTCACGGTCCCTGGGGGCCCTGAGCCTGGATTTCCCAGAGCTGAGCTTCCCTGTGACTTGGTATCGAAGATTAACTTTTTTTATTTCCTGGACCTCATGGTTCTGCTCTTACTGTCCCAGCGCCCTGTTGAACAGGGGTCGTTCTCTCTTTTAGGAAGATTTGAGGCTGAGAGAGGAGGTGTGATTTGGCTACGTCACACAGCAAGGCTCAGCCCCACCGCTTTCCGTGTTGGTAAGTCTGTTCGCCCGATCAGAACCATCCCACTGAGCACTGGCCTGCATGCCAGGTGTCCGTGTTGTCACCTAAGCCCTGAGCACCAGGTCCTCAGGTGTGCGGTGGAGCTCACAGGATGCCAACTTCACAGACTGCTACGGGGACAAGATTGAATGATGTGTTGTAAGGATCCGTGCTTACTCAAACGTTACCCTTTTATTATTACTGTAATGAGCTAAGTCACCTAGAACACAGGTTTCCTGTCTGTGTTTTTGTGGCAGCATTTTCAGCTCATTCATTCATTTATTTATTTGTCTGGGAATGATTCAAGGGGTCCTGCATGCCCCAGGTCCAGTTCAGGAGCAAGATCCCTGTCTGATGTGAGCAGTGGGGCTTCTCCCTTGGGGCCAGGTACCTGGGGTCTGGTTCTCAACACCCCTGCCCCTTGCTCTGGCTGCTTATGTCCGTCCTGAGTGGCCCTTTTCAGTTCCTTCTCCCCTTTTCTCTCTCCTGTTAGAAGCTCACAACCTCTGATTCTCACTGGTGACCATCTCCACTTCCTTCTGGGCAGAAATTGCACCAGAACCCTCTGAGTGGCTCTGGCACCAGCCCTTCACCCCAACCCATGTTTCCATGCCTGGGATCACCTCTACCCTCCAAGTCACCTTCAAAAATTTCCATAACCTCATATGGCTCCTGCCCACACCTCTTTAACTGACTTGGGCTTGGGCTGTTGCCTGGGTTAAAAGAACCAACAAACACAGATACTTCCTTAATGAAAAGATGCCCTGTGTTTCCCTAGAGCCTCAGAGGAGTGTGAAGTCCTCTGTAGACCTGATGACTGTGATCCCCCCGTACCCACTGGAGAGGAGGGGTACAGGGTATACACAGGTCCCAGCCCCTGCATTCTGGGTGCCGCCCCAGGGACTGCCCTGGGATAGAGGCAGAGGTGGTCTCAGGCTGACTGCAGGGTGAGAGGGGAGAGGAGAAGGCAGCTGCCACTTATCTCCTGGCTGTGGGCAGAGAAGAGGGGCAGAAAATAGTGCTGAGGTCCCACATAGTTCTGCCAGAGGCTCCAGGAGCTTTGGACTCTGTAGAATGCAGGGAGGGCTGGCAGTGGTGGCCTCCGTGGGAGGCCCAGCTGATATCTTCCTTGAGGGACAGTCGTGTGGTTGTCCTAGGGTCACCTAGGGATGACCACCACCCAGTGATGATGGCTGGGCCATCCCTCCTGGCACCAGACCCACCAGTGCTTTTAGGAGAGAGCCATGTGAGGAAAAAGGAATGGATCCCTTCACAGGCCCTGGTGCTGATCCCCACCCTCTTCTGCCTGGCTCAGAGGTTCTTCTTCCTCCCCAGCAGCCCAAGAAACTGGCCCCTTGTGTACCCTATGCTGATGCACACAGGGCCGAGCATCCAACTGGCCACGAGAGCACCACGCAGCCCCCCGACCACACCCACTCTCTGACCCTGACAATCTTCTGCCTGTAAGCCAGAGGCTGGCTTGGAATCCTTCAGCCCTGGGATGGGGTAGACAACCTTGCTGTGGTGGGGGCTGGCTGCAAAGATTAAAGGGGACCGGAAATCAGGGTTCTGAAGCCTGGGTTTTGATCCCAGCTCTACTCCTAGTGGTCTCAGGCAAGTCATTCCACCTGTCAAGGTCTGATTTTCCCATCTCCAGAATCTGTAAACCAAGATGTGCTCTCTCTTTGGTCCTTGTCTCGTGACTCTGAGAGGTGGAAAAGCTGTAGAGAAAAGTTGGGGAGGGCTAGTGATATTCTGAGAACAAAGCCTGGCTGGGGGACAGTGGGGATGGCACCGGTGGTGGGGTACACATGGGGCTCACAGTGTCCTTCTCCTCTCCAGGCTTTGCCTCTCAAGCCATCCCGTCCTACCCCGTGGGATCTCACTGTCCACGGCAGGGCTATGGACAGGAAAGTGGCAGTCCACAAGGATGCGGCCTCCTGGATGCCTGAGGAAGGAGAGACGGCGGACCAGGAAAGCAAGGACCAGGTGAAGGATCGGGGCCAATGGACCAACAAGATGGAGTTTGTGCTGTCAGTGGCCGGGGAGATCATTGGGCTGGGCAATGTCTGGAGGTTTCCCTATCTCTGCTACAAAAATGGAGGTGGTGAGTTCACTCGGAGGTAGGCGCGGTGGGGAGTCGTGCCTTGACAGCTGGGCAGTGCCACCTGGGCCCCACCTCCTGGGTGTGTGGTGAGACGGAAGGAGGTCTGTCGTGAAGCTGGAGGGCTCGGCGGAGCCTCAGTGTCCCTCAGTGCTGCTTAAGTGAGGCCACTGGTAGGACCAAGGAAGCTCCTTTATTATTATATATGTCAATGGCTGGTAGATTTCACTCACTCACTCATTCATTCATTCATTCATTCAACTGCTATTATGTTAAGCCTATTGCATGCCACGCAGTTCTGGACACGGCACTGAGCGTTCATTGTGTTACATTCTAGTGCAGGTGGGTGGACCACAGACAAGAAAAATATGTGTCACGTGGTGATGAGTGGAAGGATGAGAAGTAAAGAGAGAGGAGGGAAGGGGCTGTGGCATTGTGGGGAGGGGGAGAGGGCTTCGAAATGTGAAATAGGATGACCAGGGAAGATTTTTACTGAGGAAGGTAACATTGGGCAGAGACCTAATACAGTGAAAGAGGGAGCTTATGCGTGGATAGAGAAGGCGGACTTTCATTTCTGTCAGGGGAGTAGCAAGCGCAAAGGTCCTGGGGCGACAGCACAACTGGGCAACCGCGAGGAGGCAGCAGGAAGTGGAATGAGGAAATGACAGGAAGTGGACTCAGAGATGAGGGAGCCGATGCTGCAGGCATGGCCTCAAGCCCCTGACGAATTCTGCTGGAGAAGCAATAGCTCGTCTATGGTTCTTCTTTCCTATGAAAGAAACACACTTTTCTTGTCTCATAGTCCTAATACTAATGATTCACAGCTAGCTTAGGCTTATCAGTTATAAAAAAAAAAAAGTCCGCATCCTGCTGGACTGCCACTTTCCTGTCCATAGCCCTGCTGTGGACTGTGAGACCCCGCGGGGTAGGACAGGACGGCTCCAGGGGCAAATTAGCCGCAGCAGCTAAGTGGCAGCACTAAGGACCAGCCGGTCCCAGCCCTCACAGTGCAAAGGGGTCATACTCTTTTTGAAAATGCACAATTCAGTAGATTTTAGTATATTCACAGAATTAGGCAACCACCACTGGAGTTTTAGGGCATATTCAATGTTCTGAAGACTCAGTGCCCATCAGCACTCCCCTCCCCCTCTCCACTTCCTTCTGCCGCAGCTCTTGGAAATCCCTAACTTGCTGCACGTCTGTCAGTGTCTGTCTCCTGGTGATATTTCCTGTAGATGAAACCCTGCACTCGGTCTTCCTCTGTGACTGGTCAGATTCATTTTGGCCCGTTGAAATCAACTTTACTGTTCTTGTGGAATTGATGCACGCTGATCGTAAATATTAGAAGCATTCTAGGAAGGAACACTCACATTTAGAGATCACCATTGTTTAGAAACACTCTCTGAAACACAGCTCATATTTAACGTAACAAGTATTTACTGAGTATCGACTAGGTATTTGCTATGTGTTTTAAAGCTTGGAGTTATTATCACAAACTTCTTGAACCAATGTCTCCAGAGAAGCAGCTGTGGGATTAGGAGCGGGGTCAGGGCTGCGGTGCTGAGCGGAGGGGTAGCTCGCATTGGCCAGAAGTTAGGGAGGCAGGAAGGGGCGGTTCTTCCCTTGTCCCAGCTACACAGTGTCATGGACATGTGAGATGCTAGAGCCAGAGCTAAGGACCAGCTGGTCCCAGCCCTCATGTCACAAAGGAGGACGTGCCTTCCCTCTCAGAGGCAGCCAGACACTTGCAGTGAGGCAGCCGGTCTCCTTGTCCCTGTATACATGTCACTCTGCTAGCCAAAAGGACAGAGCGTGAGGGCTAGGAGCCAGAGCTTCAGGCTCTGGTACCTGAGCCAGGTCATCTGTGAGGTGGTAGGTCTGAAGTACATGACATCATAGCTTAATCCAAAGGTCAATATGTTTTGCTGTTGGCCAGAGTGGTTCTTTTTTTTTTTTTTTTTTGCAATATATTTTGTTTTATTTTTTCTTTCAGTTTTTATTTTCCTTTAATTCTTTTTTTAATTTATTTTTTTATTTTTTTTATTTTTCAACAAATAATACACTGCATATATTCTTCTTAGTGGTTAATTGCTGTACAAGATGCGGACTTGTGATCCTATTTACAAACACCATTAGAACAAATCATTCTATTCATTAACAGAATAAAAGTGATTTTTTTTTTTTTTTTTTTTTTTCCGGAACCGGGGATTGAACTCAGATCTTTGCGCTTGCCAGGCAAGCGCTTATTCTACTGAGCCACCTCCCCAGCCCCCAGAGTGGTTCTTGTTCACTGTGAAAACCAGATTGATCCCAAGCTGACTGTAAGCCCTGATGAGCCCTTAGATCTGTTCTTTATTAATAGAGGTATAATCAATAGTTCTGTAGAGGAATCTTTCAAAAGCATGGAAATAATAAGGTTATTGATCTAACAGTGTTGTAATAAAAGACAGGGGCCCCCAAACCAGATCAACCTGAAGAAATGTTCACCTCAAACTAGAATTGTACAAAATCCTATTGACACAGTTAGTGGTTCAGGAGAGTCACTTGGCGGGGATAATAAAGCCTCACTCAGAAAAGAGGGCTGGAGATCTTAGCCACAAGCACCAAGCACCTATTTGCGAAGATCCCTGTGAGATAGCGTCAGGTTGTTCCGTCCATAGCCCGAGCAGACCCCATCAGACCAGGGCACCTGTGTGACAAAGGTTTGGTATGCTAAGGGAGGAAGTCTTTGTGGAAAGCCCCAGCAGAAAGTAGAGGGTGAAGGATCCTCCTACACCTACCCAGAGACTACTGCCTCCTTCCCCATGAAGGTTCAGACCTAAGGGCCACCGCGAGGAGGCCAGCTCTAGGCCTCAAGAGTCTCCCCATCTCCTGTCAGGACAAAAAAGTCCACCCAAGGATGCTCCCCCTTTGTTAAAGGGCAGGACCCCCCACAACTTCTGGGAGGAGGCCTGTAGTCTTCCCTAAAGCATCCACTTGGGGTCCTTTTCCTGAACACTGACCCTCAGCCTAGTCTGCAACCATCCGAACAATGCAAAGCTGAGCTAGTATGCTTAGCAATGCTCTGGAAAGGCAGATGTGGGCTCACCTGGGGCTTTGGTTTCAGTGGAGAGTCAGGCGCTTGCCACGGCCCCCTGGGGCCTACAAGACACAAGTCCTCCTTTATTCTCATACATAGCTATTAGAAGTACAGATTGGTTTGAGGGCTTGGGGTGGGGCAGACTGGACAAAGACCTTTTGCAAAGGTGCATACCACAAAGGTGGACATCAGCACATCCATAGATAAATAAGGTGTGGTGGGAACATCGTTTCGCCTTTAATGAGAGAGAATTCTGATACATGTCATGGTGTGGATGAATCTTGAAGGCACTAAGTAGAATAAGCCAAACACCACAAGCTAAATACTGCACAATGCCACCTGTGTGAGGTGCCCAGGACGGGCGGATTCACAGAGACGGAAAGTAGAGTCGTGGCTGCCTGGGGCTGGGGCTTGGAGCAGGGGGACAGGGAGTTACTGTATGCGGAAGTAGTGTGGATTTGGGAAAACAAAAGAGTTGTGGAGGTGGATGGTGGTGAGAGGGGCACGATATTGGGAATGTGCTGAATGCCACTGAGACTTAAAAATAGAATGGCACACATACATATGCACGCGTGTGCACATACACACACACGCACAAGCAAAAATAGCGTATGCCATTGGGATCAGCAATTCCTCTGTTAGGAATCTGTGCACAAGACAGAGGGACACAGACTGTGGGCTTCACTAGAACAGGAGCAATGCTGCTAGTGAGACAACTAAAAGGCCTAGTAATAAGGTGCTGATGACATGCACCAGAATTCCATGGACTGGAATACTAGGCAGCCACGGAAACGATGACACAGATAGGTATTTAGTGATAGAAAGAGGTTCATGACACAAACTCTAAAGATGGTTGTCGGGTGATACATAGCAGGCCTCGTGTTTGCAAAGAAGAAATTTATGTGTGCTTATATAAGTCAAGGGCCGGGAGGGCTGGCGGCCTAGCGCGTGCCAGTTTCAGGAGCAGAATAAGGATATGCGATGCCCTGTCTTTTCCCTTGGCCTGTCCCTTCTATTTCTCTACACAAGAAAAGGGATTACTTCAGAGACATCACAGTGCGGTGTGGAGAGGTGCAGCCTCAGGGCGAGCTCACCCTTACTTCATTTTGGCTTTGCCTCTTTAATGGGCCTCCTTTCTCTCCCATGTGACATGGGGACAGCAATAGTGCCTCACTTTGGGAGGCTGTTTTGTGAGGATCTCACATTGGTGAGGCATTAAAAGAGAGTGTGACACGCAGTAAGCGCCAAGTAAGTGCTAAGTGTTCTACGGGACAGTAAGCAAGAGGCTGGTGCTCAGGGGCAAGCCTCTGAGGATGACTTATACCCCAGCGGCGCCCCGGGCTGGTGGTGGCTCTGTCCCTGTGGTATAATCTGGGGGCTGTCTCCCAGGCCAGGCTGCCCCTGCTGCCTGCGGATCTGTACCTAACCATCTGACAGCCCTCTGAGTCCCTGCAGACCAGAGAGAACCTCCAAAATCACTAGCGGGGAAATAGCTCTTCCAAGCGGTTTTTGTTTATTTGTTTTTCTCTGAAAGGTACCAAACCTGATAATTTAATAAGTGCCTTGTATCATACACACCACGTGTTTTGTTCCAAAAGTAATACATTGACTGGGTTTGTAAAGTGCAAACAGTGCACGTTGGAGGGTTTCCACCTTGAGGTCATTCGTGTTTCCCTTCTGAGGCCTGCCTGCCTCATACACAGTCCAGGCCAGGGCATCTGGGCCCACTGGGGCTGAGGCAGGCTTGCGGGAGGAGGCTGAGGATTCAGACGTGGCAGGACGGGTTCAGGGGGTCTGGGGTGAGAAGGCCGAGGCGTGGCTCAGTCCCTGTCTCCCTCCCCTCCACAGGAGCCTTCTTCGTGCCCTACTTCATCTTCTTCCTCAGCTGCGGCATCCCAGTGTTCTTCCTGGAGGTGGCACTGGGCCAGTACACCAGCCAGGGTAGCGTCACAGCCTGGCGGAAGATCTGCCCCCTCTTCCAGGGTGAGTGCCTCCCTCTGCTGCCCGTGGACACCCTGCCCAAGCCTCCTTGCTCCTCCATCCTCCCTTCCTTACCGTCCATCCACTCCCTTGTTCATCTCCTGCTGCGCTAATTGCACAACCAGACTTGTAAACCATGAATGAGGCCGTGGCCCAGGAAAAAACGTCAGAGAGCTAAAAATGTGAATTGAGGTGCAGAGCTCGGAAGGGGTGCGTGTGAGCGTATGGTGTGGTCCAGGGGGGCTCCAGAGTGCGCGGTTGGAGGAGTAGTGTGGTGGCAGTGCTCTCTAGCATCTGTGGGGCCCTAACCTGGGTCTGGCTTAGGTAAGCGCTTTTTGTGTGTGTACGTGTGTGTGCGTGGGTGTGTGTGTGCGTGCGTGCGTGCATGTGTGTAACCTGTGTTTTTCATCCAATCCTCCAGTAACTCTGTTGAGCCACTTTGCAGATAAGGCAACTAGGGCAAGGCCAAGGGACCCTGCAGAGGAGTGGGGCGGGGCTGGGCTGGGCTGGGCTGGGCTGGGTGGAGCATAGCCCACCCTGTCTCTGCTCTTGAGCTCAGGGTGCTGCAAGAGTGTCCTGGAGCTCTGCTCAGCTATGGACACGGCAGTGTCCCCAGTGGCTCTTGTCTCCAGGTCAGATGAGTTCCTGGCAGCGTAGCAGGGCTGTCCTCTGCAAAATGCCTGGGCTGTCTTATGGTGGTAGGGAGGGCAGGCTGGGGGAGAGATGGCTGCTCCTTCCCTTTCTTTTTTCTTTTTTTTGCGGAACTAGGGATTGAACTCAGGCCCTGCGCTTGCCAGGGAAGCGCTTATTCCACTGAGCCGTCTCTCCAGCCCTTTCCAAATTATCAGGCTCGGTAGGGGCCTGGGCCCTCCAGGGAGGCCACTCGAGGAGTGAGGACATGCTGGTGGTAGGACCTTGCCTGCCGCTCTCCAGCTGTGTTCCTGATGATGCCCAGGCACTGCCATGTTCCGCCCCCATGCCCTCTGCCGCTTGCCCAGCCAGCACTGTTAGGGTCATGCACAGCACTCTGGGCCTGGGCTCCTGTGGTAACTCCAGGGTGCTCACTGCGCTGTTCAGTCTGGCTAAGCCTTCTTTTTTTGGTAGTGCTGGAGACTGGGCCCGGGGCTTTTGCACTGAGCTGCATCCCCATCCCTATTGATTTTTTCTTGAGAGAGAGTCACATTAAGTCACTCAGTTCCTTGGGTGGGGCTCGAACTGGCAGTCTTCCTGCCTCCGCTTCCCTCAGTGTTGGGACCACCGGTGTGCGCCACTGTGCCCAGCTAACCGGCTGCTTCTTAAATGATTGTGGAAAGATTCCAGTTGGGAAGCGTGTGTTTGTTTCCACTGAGGAAACCAAATGTATTCACCAAGCACAGTCTGAGTGCTAAGTGCCGAAACAGTGCAGGCTTCAGTTCTTGACAGGGAGCCACTTCTCTCTTCTTGTTGTGTTTTTTGCTTTTTCTTATCCCCAACCTGACTCTTACCCTCTCCTCCTCCTTATACTTTGGTGTGCTGCCCCTTTGCATTTTATTAGCAGTCTATGATTGTAACGGAAAATGCAGATAGGCAGAAAAGTCTTGAAAATGTGAACTATTATCTTATCACTTAGAGAACTATGTATTCATTTATGGGAGATCTTTCTGAAGTGTCTCTCACGAAAAACTATATTCAGATAGAATTTTTCAAAAATAGGAAGATGCATAAGGTAGTGATCTGTAACCCATTTTTCTTACTTAGAAAAAAATACCATGAACAGCTTCTCATGCTAATGAGTAAGCCCCGGTGGGTTTCTTTGTGTAGCACCAGAGACAGCTAGCACACCTGGTTGTTTCCTGTAATGGTTTTGCTAATGTCGCTCTCTTGGGTCTCTCCCCACAAGGTATTGGTATAGCATCTGTGGTCATTGAGTCCTACCTGAACATCTACTACATCATCATCCTGGCCTGGGCACTCTTCTATCTGTTCAGCTCCTTCACCTCTGAGCTGCCCTGGACGACTTGTACCAATCCTTGGAACACAGGTACTTATCCTTTTTGCCCTGGGATGGGGATCTTTCCTTCTCAGCCAGGTGGCAGGTGGTGGACAGATACAATGACAGACATAGCAGAACTTGCTGGCTAGCCCTCCTGTGGGGCCTTGGAGCAGTCTCAGGAAGGATTGCTGTGGTTATGGGAACATGGTTGGGACTGGGCTATGTAGCTGCAGGCCACGGCCATTCCCCACTTATTTATTCCCTTAAAAATATTTTCTGGGTACCCATTATGTGCCATTGCTGTGCCAAGGCTGAGTGAGGGCTAGTGGCAGAAAGAGAGAAATCAATAAAGCAAGTATCCATTACCAAGGGACAAAGAAACAGAACTACATCGCAAGGGGTGGAGGAGTGAAGAGTAGAAAGGCCTGCATGTGGGCAGCACGCCATCCACGCCAGAGAAGAGCAGCATGTGGGCTTGGTCCCTTGTGTTAGACTGGAGACTGGGGGATGAAGAGGAAGGGCAGGGATGACAGGGAGCTCTGATTATTAGGCCGGAAGGTCAGGGGTCCAGGATACGAAAGCATCTGTCCCCACCATGTCCCTCACTGATGTATCCCACTTTGCCCCAACAGACCATTGTGTGGACTTTCTGAATCACTCGGGAGCCAGCACAGGGAACCACTCTGAGAACTTCACCTCTGCGGTCATGGAATTCTGGGAGTAGGTTCTGGGCCTAGTTGCCACATGCCGGGGGATCCTAAGCAGACAGTCTGGATGTCTGAGCTGTGCAAACGTGAATGTTGGGGCACAAGATCAAGACTCTCTGTGCATACTTTCTAGCACTCACCCACTGTTGCCCCGACTCTGACCCCATATCACTAAGGGATGAGGGGACAGCACCACATCCACCCATGCCTTCTTATCTGCACCTGCTTCTGTACCCCTAGCCCGCATGGGCCCCCCAGACTCCCACTTTTCCATCTGTGTTCCCCTGCACTCTCCCGCTGACCCACCCCACTCTTCCCCCACACTTACTCACCATTGCATCGTGTCCAGTATTGCTGGACAAAGCTGATGCAGCCTCAGGGAGCTGACTGTTCGGATCTCTTCCAAGCCAGTGTGCTGTGATGCCACACTGGCCCTCCATGTTAGCCAGGGTAGAAGATGTATGCGACAGAAACAGTTACTCTCACTTGTTCATCCTCCCACATGACTGCGTGCACCTCCTCCTCCACCAGGCCACACATGTCCACCCACCACATGCACCAACGAGCCCACACAAGCTCACTGACATTTGTATACCGTCTCACACACACGCCCTCAGTCGCATGAGCTCTCTATGCAGGCACATTTCTCTCACCCCATACACCTCTTTAGGTCCTGGCCCACACCCCACTCTTCCCTTGATGCCCATGTCTCATGGACAGCCCTAAATGTCCTAAGTGCATCTCTAAATGTCCACCCTTGTGCCCTTATTCATACACCCTCGCTACTCGCAACCTCTCTCTTTATCGCTCTGTACAACAGAGAAATTGGGATGAGTTAGAAAGACACAGATACCTATGGGATACGGTGATTTGGTCTGCTAACAGCCACGGCCATCCAGGCTACAGGTGGGAGCATGGCATCGCCATGGGACAGGTTAGGGAGGCCGGGGGTGCAGGAGCCCTGGGACATGAGGTCTGTGGGTCAGTCCTACGAATTAGGAGCCTTGGCGACAGAGGTATACATTGCCTTTAGCTTCTCATCTCATGGTTTATTTTCTCCTAATCCACCAGGAGACGGGTTCTGGGAATCACCTCGGGCATCCACAACCTGGGGGCCCTCCGCTGGGAGCTGGCCCTTTGCCTCCTGCTTGCCTGGATCATCTGCTACTTCTGCATCTGGAAGGGGATTAAGTCCACGGGCAAGGTGGGGAGTGTGGCCCTAGTAGGCTCTCTGTGTCCTCTGGAGTCCTTGGGAACACGTTAGAGGGTCCCCCTGGAGAGCCAAAGAGTTGTTTAAGGGAGAGACCTGGTGAGAATAGGTGAAGTCATAGAAGGCAGAGTTTAGCTTAATATAAGAAAAATCTTTCCTTTTCAAGAGAAATGTCTTTTTTAGGTAAGTAAATATTCACAGCAAAATAAGAAACATAAAAGCCCCACTATTGGAGCAAATTACTGCATTTAAAGCCAGATTCAATCTTCTAATCCTTGCCAACTTTTTCTCTGTTCCCCTAGTTTCTCCTGTGTGTGTGTGCAGGTGTGTGTTGGAATCCGTTATGTGTGTGTTTTATACAATTAGGATCGCAAACTCCTGCAACTTGCAGTATTTAATAACAAGATAATATTTAGTATGAATCAAGAGACAAAACTGTCTTTGGGGTGGTAAGTTGCATGTCACTGAAGGGGTTCAGGCCAGGAATGGACAACAGTGGCTTGTTCTACAGAGAAAATTTAGGTCTGTACGTCTTTCCACCCCTGAAAGCTGAGACTGGTGCTTCATGCGCTGCTGAAGCCTGGAGAGGGGAGGGAGGTCACGGTTCCCAGTGCCTTGCCTTTTGGCTGTTGGCAATGCAGCCTCCCTTTCCCAGGATTGTTACAAAAATAAAAGCAGTACTAACAAGGACACAGACAAGGCTGCGCTAGGTAGGAAGCTAAGAGAGCAGCCTTGGCGCGCCTTGAGACCCGGTGCTCCCCCAGCTGTAAGCCTGGAAAAGTACAGTCTCCTCGACCTCCTCACAGATCACCACAGATCACGGTCCAGCCCTCCACCCCCCGCAGGGCAGGCCGTGAGGAAAGGCAGGATAAAGGATTAAGGCGCACCAGTGTCTGGATTTTAAAATAGTCTTTGAAGGGTTATGGGCTGGAAATATCACCCCTCCTGGGTGCCGCCCCCGCCCTGCTGATGTGTATCTCACCGTCTGCTGCTGCGGGGTGAGACCCGCTGGAATGTGCACAGGGAGGGTTGGAAAGTTTCACGGCTCACCCCTCGGGCGTTTCTGTGGGCTTAGAGCCTGGCAGGGGCGCAGTGTGGCTGTGCTGCCCAGGGAGGGGCAGGAGAACTCCGGAGACGTCTTCCTCCTCCTCCTCCTCCTCCCCCTCCTGGCAGCCTGTGCCCTACAGCAGCGCCCTGGGCTGGTTTCCCTCCAGGTTGTTTATTTCACGGCCACGTTTCCCTACCTGATGCTGACTGTCCTGCTGATCCGCGGCGTCACCCTCCCTGGGGCCTATGAGGGCATCATCTACTACCTGAAGCCAGACCTACTCAGACTCAAGGATCCCCAGGTGGGCAGATTATCTGTGGGGGCTACTGGCACAAAGCCCTGGGACTTTGAGTGTTTCCCACCGATTTTAATTGGTTTTAAAAACACTAGCTGCCCCTTAGAGAACAATTAGGTAACGCAAAAGAAAACTGAACAATGAACCCAAATCTCTTATACTAAGATATAATCTCTGTATTTTAAGATTTTTTTTTCCTGTACCAGGGATTGAACTCAGGACCTTGTGCTTGCCAGGCAGGCACTCATGCTGCTGAGCTATATCCCTAGCCCCTCTGCATTTTAGTGCATTGTCTTCCAGCCTTTTTTTTTTTTTTCTATGTTGTGTGTGTTTTTAGCATAGTTGAAATCATTATTTAGAGCCATATCTCCTTTTTTTTTTTCACTTACATTTCATTAGGCTTTTCTATTGTCATCTGTGTCATTTTTAACATCTGTATAATGTTTCCTCCATTCATTGAGCAAAGTGCCCTGAGGTCTCATTAATGCTGTAGCACCAGGGAAGGGCATGGACATAGGTGGCTACCTCCTTGCCCTCCTCGGAGCTCAGAGCCTGGTCTCAGACCATTGGGTGATCCTTATTTTAAAATATACAGTCATCTCTCAGTGTCTGAGAGGAATAGTCCCCAATCCCAGAGCCCTCTGAGACTCAGTACTTATCTAAAATGGCCCAATATTTGTATATATAGTCTTTGCATGTCTTCTTAAACCATACTGGGATGACTTGTACTTACTGTCAGGGAAATACTGTGGAAATAGTTGCTATACTGTATCATTTAGGGGAAAATGGAAAAGAAAAAAATTATGCATGTCAGTCCAGATGCAGTTTTTTCCCTGAAATTTTTTTATGTACCAGAAGATTTATGTATTAACTCTTTTAATAGTCACTGCAGGGAGATGGCTCAGTGGAATAAGTGCTTCCCTGGCAAGCGCAAGGGCCTGAGTTCAATCCCTGGTTCAGCCAAAAAAAAAAAAAAAAAAAAAAGTCACTGCAATCTCACAAGTTAAATAGTAGACAAGTTTGAGGAAAAGGAAGTGACTGAGTGCCAGCAACATTTTTCAGTCATAGAACTAGCAAATGACAGGACTCAGATTCAAGCACACTCTTCATAACTTCCAAAATCTTTTCCATTCCAGTAGGGAGGCTTAAGAAAGCAACAACAGAACAGTCCAGCTATTATATTTCGTATTCTGTGTGTACACTGACACATTTTAATACGGTCATAGTTAGAAATAAAGTTGAATGAAGTGTAGTTCTCTAATTCGTTATTCCACGACATTTACCAAATCTGACTAACTCTTAAGTCTTGCGGACGCCTCCTCAGAAGGCTGAGGTTGGGCTGTTTGTTTAGAGCGACTGTTCTGATTGTTCTCTCATACTGTCCGCATTTCATTTCCAAGCACGCTTACTTCTTACTGCTGTGATAAGTGAGCACAAAGCTGGGGACTTAAAACACCTCGAATTTCGGAGCTTACTTCTGAAGGCCAGAGCTCAACATGGGCTCCTGAATGCTGTTGATGCATGTGTTTGATCCCCCAGAGCTGGTGAGGCTCTGTAGGCAACGCTGAGCTCCCAGGGGTAAGCTCTAGGACAAAGGAGCTTACATTGGTTGAAACTTTGGAAGCAACACCCATGGATATGAAAGGTCATTGTACTCATTTAGAGAAATGCAGGTTTCCACTACTACTGTTTGAGGATAGATGGCTTTCTGCAGGGCCCTTGTGAGATTTGACTGTAATTTATTTTAATGTTTGATAACCTAATTGGTCTAAGTACTATACCCTTATAGTTTCTAGTTTTCACTGTGGACAAGGCTGGACACTTCATATATACCGATTACCATTTGTTTTTCTGCCAGAACTTCCCTGAGTGCATTTTTGCCCTTTTCCACTGGAGTCTTGGTGGTTTTCATTCTGTTTTTATGAAGCGGTCTCTGCACCAGGTCATAGCTGCCTACAGTGCTGCATGTAGTTTACTGAATGAGCACAGGTGACCCTTCACTCTGCAGACAAGCCTGGCTGTCGTGGGTACAGTCTGAGTAGCGCATGTGTACTCAGTGTCTCTGAGGTGCAGACAGGGCCCTGCCTGTGAGAAGGCCCCTGTGCAGAGAAGGAGGACAGGCAGATGGTGGGCAGGATGGGTGTGACCCTCAGGGACGCAGAGGGGCAGTGCCAAGGTGGGGAAGGCCTGGTGCTGGCCCCAGGCCCTGGCTATCCTCCCTGCCCGCTCTACCACTTTCTTGGGCCTCATGCAGGTGTGGATGGATGCGGGCACGCAGATCTTCTTCTCCTTTGCCATCTGCCAGGGCTGCCTCACAGCCCTGGGCAGCTACAACAAGTACCACAACAACTGCTACAGGTGAGAGCCGGCGGGGCTCTGTAGGCAACAACGCTGAGCTCCCAGGGGTAAGCTCCGGAACAAAGGCCCTTGTTCTGGGCCCAGGGAGTGACAGGCAGTGTCCATCTGACAGGGCGGCTCCTTCCCAGATGGAGTTCCTGCCCATCACCTTCTTCTCCTCTTCCTGACATCCTTTACCACACCCACACCCCTGCTCCTTCTTCTCCAGCTTCCTTTCCATTCCTCCCCTTTCCCCTGCTTTTGACCTCTCTTCCCTCTCACCTCTGCACTCACTCACTCCCACAGGGACTCCATCGCCCTCTGCTTCCTGAACAGTATCACCAGCTTTGCGGCCGGCTTTGTCGTCTTCTCCATCTTGGGCTTCATGTCCCAGGAGCAGGGCGTGCCCATCTCTGATGTGGCTGAGTCAGGTAGGTGCCCTTACGCTGCCTGGGCTCCAAAAGAAAGGGGCCAGCAGGCAAAGATCCCTGCTGCAGAGGGACAAGGGTCCAAGAGCTGGGAGGCAGGAGTCCATTAGTCTCAAGGGCAGAGCTGGAATAAAACAGAGCTTCCAGAACCCCCGAGGGAGAGGGCCAAGGGGGTGGATGACCAGACTGACCAAATGAGGGGTGTCTGTCTGCTCTGTTCAAGAGCAGAATAAAGGATGGACTCATTCCACCTTCTCAGAGCACCCCACCTTTCACACCCATATGCACGTGCACACATGCACATGCATGCAGACATGCATGCGGACATGTGCAGATTCACACAGGCATGTACACATGCAGACACACATGGCCACATGGACACACACAGATACACAGATGCACACGGTCACCAGGGGATACACACCAGCGTGGGTGCTTAGGGAGGTACAACTGATGTAAACTGCCTTTAGGAGAGTCTGTAGCGGGGACAGCGGGAGCTAGCTCACCCGAGGTGCTCTGTGCCCGCAGGCCCTGGCCTGGCCTTCATCGCGTTCCCCAAGGCTGTGACCATGATGCCCTTATCCCAGCTGTGGTCCTGCCTCTTCTTCATCATGCTGTTATTCCTAGGCCTGGACAGCCAGGTACGTCCCGCTGGCCCTGCCCTGCCCTGCCCTGGTGGCCTTCCTTCTAGCTTCTGGATATCTTGGCATTACCTTTCCCTCCCTTCTTTTCTGAGGTCCCCTCTGCTGGCCTGGCCTTTTGCTTGGGGTTGGTTTGGTGGCTCTAGGCCTTGACACCTTCTTTTGTGAAGGGGCTGTCCACTTTCTTCTCAAGGCTGGAGCCTTCTTCATACATGGGTGCTTCTTCCGCCCACCCCCAGCCCCTGCCTCGGGAACAAGCAGATCTGTCCCCTCCAGCCTTCCTTGTTGTGCAGTGTGGCTAAGAACAGGCTGGCCTTACCGCAGGACCCGACCTCTCCTGCCCCATGTGCCCCCTCCATGAACCCCCGTGTCAGCGTGGGGGAGCTAGGGACAGAAACCCGGGCAGGACTTGCTGGAGATGGCGTTGGGTGGCGGAACAGCTCGAGCCCTGCCTCCTCTCACCCCTTTCCTCTCCTGCCCCCAGTTTGTCTGCATGGAGTGCCTGGTGACAGCCTCTGTGGACCTGTTCCCCCAGCAGCTCCGGAAGCGTGGGCGGCGCGAGCTACTGATCCTTGGCATCTCGGTCGTGTGCTACCTGGTAGGGCTCTTGCTGGTCACCGAGGTGAGTGTGGTGAGCGGTCTGGGGTGTGGCTGGGGCAGGACAGAGCTGCAGGGCACTGCTGACCTTTCCTAGAGTCACCCTGTCCCCAGCTGTGAGGTAGAGCTGGACACCGGCTTGGCCTCTCAGTGCAAGGCCACAGAGCCATGCAAACAAAGCAATCTGCTGTATTTGCTAGGTCTCCTTGGGGCGCAGGTGCCAGAAACCTGGCAGAGGCAGGAGGAGGAAGCTATGAGATCAGGTCCTGCAGAGTCAAGGGATATTTTGGTTTCCGGCTGCACTAATGACTCTGTCAGGCGCCTCCCTTCTCGTGTGGTAGCTTCCTCTTTCTTCTGAAACCTCATTCCCAGAGGTTTTCATCCTGTGGTATGAAAACCCATCCAGGCTCTGACTTATTCAGGACTGGAACAAAGTGAGGAACAGAATGAGGTGGCGCCAGTTCCCAGGAGATGGGATACTGGGCCGACAAAACGATGAGTAGCCCCTGCAGATACCAGTGCCCTCCAGGCACCAGGGATTAGCATCCCGAGGTAAACGGGGGCCCCAAAGGTAGAGAAGACACAAGAAATGAGTTCCCGGGAGTTGTGCAGGGTGGTGTCCCATACGGACACGTGCCACTGCGGAGTGGAGTGCTGGCCCCAGCCCCTGGGCCTCAGTCGCACATCCTTCTCTGCAGGGTGGGATGTACCTCTTCCAGCTCTTTGACTACTACGCCTGCAGTGGCATCTGCCTGCTCTTTCTCTCCGTGTTTGAAGTGATCTGCATCAGCTGGGTGTACGGTGAGTCGGGGCGACATGGCCGGGCCAGAGGAGTCACTGCTGAGATGAGAGTCTCTGTCACCCTTTCCTGCCTCATTGTGCTGGGAGGGCAGCCACGGTCAGGAAGCCTGGCGCCTCTCACCAAGGCAGCTGGAGCTGCGGCTGCCACAGAATGGGTCTCTCTGAGTAGAGAATGCAACGATTAACTCCAGAGAGTGTTCTAGAAGTGCAAGTTGTTTAAGACCCTTTGTCAGTGGGAACCTAAGTCAAAAAGGGTCTCCAGGGCTGTGCTCTGACCCCCACAAATTGCTGCATTCCATTCGTTGTGGTGGGTATGCTTGTAGCCCCGATTGCTCAGGAGGCCGAGGCAGTGGTATGGCCAGTCTGAGCTCAGCCTGGGCAATTTAGCTACAGCTTGACTCCAAAGGGGTGGGGGAGCTGGAGACATAGCTTGGTAGCCCCTAGGTCCAATCCCCAGTACTGTGGAGAAGAGGAGGACAAAGAGGAGGAAGAGGAAGGGGAGATAGCTGCTCAGTTCCTATTCCCTTCCCAGGAACTATACAGGCTTCAGATAGTTCCAAGGCCGTTCTCGTGTTATTGCAGTAGCCTTTTCCCTTGTGGCCACTACACATTTTTTTCTTATAGTGAGGGGAGTTCTACCTTCCCCTGACTTCTACTGACAGCCTTGGGCCTTGGAACTGGATAACTGGATGGTAAGGCCAAGGGCCTTGCCACTGCCCTATCACTGGCACGCCTGGTGACAACGGGGTGCCATCACACACTCCCATGCTATCTGAACAGGGGAAAGAGAGGCTCAGACAAGTTGGGTCTTGTGCCTAAGTTAGCCTACTCCAGGTCTACTGGTGCTGTGGTTGGGGGACACAGTGCCACTGTTAAAGGCTCAGGGTAGAGAGAATAAGTGGATGTCACGCATTAGGTTCTCAGGAGAAGCCAGGAACAGGAGGTTTATGATTTTGCTGTCCTAAACCTCCTTGTTTGTGCTCTTCCCTTTCCTGGGCGATGCCACTTACCTTCTCTGCTCCAGAGTCTGCTGTCTTCCTGGTTTTCTCTTACCTCGTTTCAAACCTTGTTCTCAGAGAGGATCTGATAAACCCAATCGCAGTGAGCTGCAGATGGCTAATGATGCTTACCTGGCAACATACAACTTTTAACTTTGGCTTTTGGGAGTCAAAGCAATCCCAGACACTTGGGAGGCTGTGACATGAGGGTTCCAAGTTTGAGGGTTTTACAGTTCTTTATTGTGGTAGGTACCGGGGAGGTAAAGGCGAACTCTTCACATACCTTTACCAATGCGTGGCTCCGCACTTTACCACTGAGAGGCCTGGCTCTGCCTAGAAATACAGCAACTGTGGAGGCCTAAGGACACTAAACCAAATAAGCCCAAACAAGTTGGTATTCTTGCTAAGCCCAAGTCATCACTCTTCCTCCCATGCTTTACTGGGGACTCAGATGTGGCTGCTCTGTGTCTGGTGTCTTGTGACCAGCAGCTTTCTAGTTCCATCTGTTTTATGTGACACGCTTGAGCAGTGGGAACCCTGGATGTTTTGACCTGAACCAGATTCCTCTCTGCTGCACAGGTAAACAGCATTTGCATTGCCACTGAGCTGGCTTAGGTTCACAGCCCTCTTCCGCAGTTAGGACATCGGGGTGTCCTAGACGGCAAGGCCGAGAGGGCTTACTGGAGACAGCCCTTGCCATGTGCATCTCCTCATCTCCACTTGTAACCAGGGTGCCAGGGATGCGTGGAATTCAGCCTGTTTGTTTCCTGTCACAGGGTGGGTGGGCAAGAGCATGAACCGGGTGAGGCTTCCCCAAAGGTTCTTGGAATGGTTTTTCCCCTCTGGTTCTCACACTCTCCTCACATTGTGCCTGGCCAGGGGCAGATCGTTTCTATGACAACATTGAGGACATGATTGGCTACCGGCCATGGCCACTGGTGAAGATCTCCTGGTTCTTCCTGACCCCAGGACTTTGCCTGGTAGGTGCCCACCCCTGCTCCTTATTGTCTCCCGTCACCATAAGACTCAGGGAACCAAGGGATGATGCCTGCTTTGAGTTCCACATCCCCTTCCCTGCCTCTGGGTTCCCTCCCACCTTGGTCTTTGCAAGAGGTGCCTTGGACCATGATCTGAATGAATTTTACTGTCTAACCTCAGATGCACTACAAGGTCTGACTTCTCTATGCTGGCCTGTGTAGATATGAGGATACGTCTCACCCACACCTACTCTTCCTCAATTCCAGGCCACCTTCCTCTTCTCCTTGAGCAAGCACACACCGCTTACGTACAACAATGTTTATATTTACCCTCCCTGGGGCTACTCCATTGGCTGGATCTTGGCCTTCTCCTCTATGGCCTGCGTCCCTCTCTTCATGGTTATCACCCTCATGAAGACCCAGGGTTCCTTCAAGAAGGTAGGTGGCACCCAGGAATGATGGCACACACTTGTAACCCCAGAACTCTGGAAGGTGGAGACAGAAGGAATGCAAGTTCAAGCCCAGCCTACCAACTTAGTGGGGGCCTATTTCAAAATAAATCTAAGAAAGGCTGGAGAGATAGCTTAATGAGGTCCTGGGCTCAGTCCCCACCAGCTGACCAGGAATGGTGACCCAGGGAAGGAAGGTGACCCAGGGAACAAGAGCACACCCTTGTTCTGTGTGGGAACAGCCTGGCCATGTGGAGAACCTTAATGAAGGGGCCTTTAACAACTAGTCCATGACTGTATTTCACAAATGTTCTTAAAAGTCATAGAGTCCTCACCTTTAGAATCTGACCTGCAGCAACTCATATGGGCAAGGTAACCAATTTCAGACCACTAAAAGGCTAAAGAGGAAATTAAGTCACAAACAGGAACGTGAAGGAGCCTGTGCGCTGAAAGTTTAACAAGCACAGACAGTCCCTTCTGAGTCTTAAATCCAACTCCTAAACGTGCACAGACAGTTGATAGCAGAACCAGGCCTGGAACTAGGCCGCTCACGCCCTTCATCACCATGTATTACCTCTTCTTGCTTCTTAAAATGTCACTGGCAGTGCCATTCAATGCCTGTCCTCTTTGCAGCGTCTGTCGCAGCTCATCATCCCTGACCCCAGCCTGCCACAGCCCAGGCGACACCTACACCTGGACAACGGCCCTGGCCAGGACTACAGGCCCTGTCCCCTGAAGGAAGGACTCATTGCTGGGGAGAAGGAGACGGAACTGTAGGAAGGGTCGGGGCCAGGGGTCCTTGGGGCCAGGGGTCCTTGGAGCCAGGAACCTGGGGCGGGGCTACGCTTCTGTATTAGTGCTCTGCCTCTGCCCTGCTGAGACCTCTGGGAGACCCCGGGCCCTCCAGAGGCCACTCGCCATCCCTTCCAAGGTGGCTCCTGGCAGCTGCATTTGCATCGACTCTTGTCCCAAAGCCCTGACTTCTCGGATGAGAAATGCCGAGGACCTGGTAGCCACACAACTTTTTTTCAAGCTTGCACGGAGGTCCTGAGGAGGACCTCAGACCTGTTGCCCTCCTCCGTAGACTGGTGTTCGCCTTCCATCCTGGCCTTGACCTAGATAATAAGCTCCTACGGATTGCTGCCACCATGGGCTCCTGGGTCTCACGACACACCTGCTCGGCCTGTCCTGGGGGGCAGGAGTTCCTGAGCTGGTGGCCACCTCAGGACTCCCCCGCTCAGCATTTTCTCTCTGGAGCTCTGGCTCTCGTTGCTCTTTATCCTCACTTCCCGAGGGCGCTGAGGGTCTCTCAGGATTCCAGCGAAACCAACGTGGGGCCGGTGTGGGCTCGCTGCTGCCCCCTGGTGACAGAGGGAAGTGGCGCGGCATCGTGCCGCCCCGAGGCCTCCAAAATAAGAGCGCTCTCACCTGTCGCTTCACTTTGTTCCCCACGATCCACACCCCTGACTTCACCGGAGACCTCAGCAGCGGCCTGCGACCTCCACCAGGAGGAAGAACCACCCCATCGCCTCTTCACACGGCTCTCTTTGCAGTCCTCACCCAGAACAGTCTCCCTGGTGACCGCGCCCCTTCTCTCAGACACTCACCCCGCCCTGGCCTGGACCTCAGCAAAGTAGGAGCTACTGGGTTGGAGCCAGAAGTCAGAGCTCCTCCTCTGTCTCAGCCCTGCGGCTGCGCAGGTGGGGGTCCCCCAGCAGTCAGCTCCCCCAGGCCACGCCACCGGAGCCCAAGGCTTGATTGTGGTTTGTGCTGAGCAGCTCTGCACATGGCCAGCACAAGCGCGGCATCTTTTGGGATCTTCGGACACCGCCTCCCCTCACCCACAGACTTCCGGAATCCCCAGCTTTTCATTCCCCTGGCTGCCGTGGAACTGTTTCTGCCGGGCACAGGGGCTATGGGAGGCCTGTGTCTGCCACTCTGCCTCCCCAGGACCAAGTTCAAAGGGAGTAGAAGGTACAGACAGTCAGGGAAAGGACTTCAGGGTCAAGGTCAAGGCTCGTGGGATCCTGCTCTTGATGGGTCCCTAACATGGGCATGGAGCAACAATTTCACTTTTTAAGCACGCAGAACACTAATAGGCGTGTGTGGGTGTGTGTGTACAGCCGCTATGGTTATGATTTGCAGCCTGTTCTCTTATCTCCCAGACTGAGTTTCTGACTGGAGACAGAGGCCTCCTCTGGGAGCCGTGGATTTTGGCCACTATCACACTGGAAACACTTTTTTAAGTGGATGCCCTCACGTGGTGGGTGGTGGTGGTTTCCAGTTCACCACCACTCCCTGTGAGTGCTGAGCCTTTTCTCTCACTCAGTTCTGAGGATTGCTGAGTACATAACCTGGGACAAAACTGGAACAAGGGAGGGGAGCCAGCACCCTGCCCCAAGCAGGAGAGAAAAGTAGAGGGCAGTGGTCTCAGCAGTGGTCATGCTGGGCCCCTCATTCACAGTGGTCCCTCTGCTCCCTAGAGCCTTCCATGAATTCTGGATCAAGTCCCCTTCTTGCCCAGGCTTGTCCTGTCCCAGAGAAAGGGCAGAGGGTGGCTGACTGCAAAGCTAGGTTTGAGTGTCAGGCTACAGTAGCTCCCATGTGAATAGTCAGTGGAAGCCACAGAGAGGTGCACGTGGAGGGACAAAGTCCTCCTGCGTGGAGCATCACTAACCTGTGTGAGCCACTGGGAGGTGGGCTCCCCCACCCCAGGCTCCTTCAAATCACTGTGGGCTGGGTGGCCGCCTGGCCTGCAGCTCCGTGGGAGGCCCACACAGCAATGCCCTGCGCAGTGGGCCAGAACGCTGGCCCGCGGTGCTGGATAGAAAACATAGATTTTAGCTACTTGTTTTCAGAATGACTATTACAGCAATAGGTAACTAATACTGGCCCTGGCTTTGAGGGTCAGGGTGTCCCTCATCTGAGCCGAATAGTCCCCCGGTCTCTTCCTGTCTGAGCCCTTTGCCCTTCTTCTCATCGACATGTCTCCTGATCACCCAGGGGCCTCAGTGGCCCTTGCTTGCTCTCTGTTCCCTGTTCTGTACCAGGTGAGGACTTGCTGATGCTGTCCCTGCCACCCCTTCTCTTCACGCGCCTGACTCCTGATGCCTGGGTCACGTGGCTCCCCCACAGGGCCGGCTGCTCAGGGAAGTAACAAGGGCTGATTGGATCTGACAGGGATGAAAAGCTCGTTAGCCACCCACCAGTGCGCAGAGGCCAGGGAGGACACATGAGCAGGGGAGGATGGAGAGGCTGATGGGGGGAAGCGTACATTGCTCGTCTGGTCTGAGGAGCCATGTGATGAGGGAGATGGGAGCAGCACTGTTACAGACACTGGAAAGCTTGCTCCTTGGCAGCCTGAGCCTTGGTGAGCTGGCTATCCCTGAGGTCTGAGACAAGCATCCTGCCCAAAATCTGATGCACCCTTATGCTGTGGTTTTCTTTGTCTATATCCGCCTTCCCAGAAGGCCGAGGGAGCTCAGTAGGACAAAGGGCTCTGTGCCCGCGCCTGTGTTCCCTCCCATCCTGGCTCTGTCCTTGCTGATGCGGGCAGCCTTTCCTACAAGTGCTGCCCATGGAGGACTCAAAGATGGCCATGCCATGCCTGGTCTGAGCTAGCCCTCAAGGACAGCAGGGGACATTGGGGTCTGCATGGAAAGAAGGGTCCCAAGGCAAGGACAGGAACTGCCAGCGTAGACCCGGGCTCCTGGTCTGACCACAGCCTCTTTCTCTATTGAGAAACATATTTCTATGTTTGGGGCTTTTGGGGTCTTCTTTTTGGCTTTTTATGTGGACATTCATGCTGCTGGAAATATGGCGGCTGTCTTTTCCAGTGACTGTGTTGACCTTCTTCTGCAGTGCCAGGAATGGAACCCAGGGCTTCCTCTGTGTTAAGCAAGTGCTTTGGGTCTGAGTTGCACCTTCACCTAAAATCTTTTCTAAGACTTTAGTTTGAGACAGGATCTTGCTAAGTTGCCCAGGCTGGCTTCCACTTTGGGATCCTGCGGCTCCAGGCTCCCAAATAGCTTGGGGCTTTGGGTGTGCACCACCGCACCTGGCTCAGGTCACAGTCACTATGCCTTGTTGTTGTTTTGTTTTGTTTTGTTTTTTCTTGTCTTCCTGGGGACCTAAAAGTGGTGGTAGCAGGCCTCCTTCCTCGTTTTGACAGCAAATCAAACATTTCACTACTGAGTGTGATAGTTGATGTAGATTTTTGACAGACACTGTTTACTAGGCTGTGACATTTTCATCTGCTCCAAATTTACTTTTTTTAAAAAAAAATCAAGAATAAATATTGAATTTGATCAATTGCCTTTTGGTATCTATCGAGTTGATCATATTGTTTTTGCTTTTGTTAATGTAGTAAATTTTATGCACTTTTTTTTCCCCCATATTAAACTATCTTTTCATCTCTGGGACAAACCCAGCTTGGTCATGGTGTGTCGTGCTTTTGTCATTCAATACTGTGCTCTGTTACTATTTTGTATTTAGGGACATAATCAAGACTGTCTTCTTGTCTTGTTTTCCCGTACTGGCCTCGTCTATGTTAGATTTTGCTTTTAAGGTAACATTAGGCTCATGCAAAGGAGTGAGCGAATGTTTTTTCCTTTCTGAAAGAGTTAACATGAGATTAGAATTGTCTATTCCATGAAAATGTAGTAGAATATACACAAAGTCAAATCTTTTGGCCTGATGGGGGAGGGCGTGTGTGTGTGCGCGTGCGTGTGTGCGTGTTCGTGTGTGTGTGTGTGTGTGTGTGTGTGTGTGTGTGTAGGTAGGTAGGTAGGTAGACGTTTAACTTCTGCCTTTGTGTTTATTATGTTCTTCTTAGTTTGGGCTTATCTGTCTTTCTGTTTGTAACATTTTTTTTTTTTTTTTGGTCTTTCTGAGACTGGCCCTCACTATGCAGTTTAGGCTGGCCTTGATCTTAGGCCAGGCCAGCCTCGAACTTGCAGAGGTCCTCCTGCCTCAGCCTCCCAAGTGCTGGGGTTACAGGCATGCGCCACCACACCAGGCTCTGTGATGTCTTAAGTTTATCTGTAAAAGGATAACTACTCTAGTAAGTTGGACTGCCTGACCTGCTCATCTGCTTGTAGGTCTGGTTGGGGATTCTGTGACTTCCTGTGCGGGGGGAAGGGCTCCTTCACCCTTGGCTGCAGCTCCCTAAGAGTAGACTGAGGTGGTCCTGGGAGGGGGTTAGGGGTCGGGATTCCTGCGGGAGAGAGGGCAGGGAGGTCCAAGGAGCTGGAAACGTGCTCACAAGTGCCAGATCCCCGAGGCGCGCTCTGGCCCCTGCAGCTGGTTCTCACAGTGTCCCAGAGCCAGGCATGAGGTCATTCAGTCTTTGGGTCATGGGAGCAGGAAGCACCGAGGGGCAGGGGCTGGGGGTGGTGTTAGGCTGCCTGGTTCTCAAGGGAGCAAAACTGCCCAGACCTGCAGGGCCGTGGGAGGGAGGAAGAGGAGAGGCAGGACAATTCCCATCCCTGCCCCTGTCTCCTGAACTTGAGTTCCTGCATCATGAGACTCATCCTGGATGGAATTTTCCTGCTGGAATCAGTTTTGGACGTGACCCAGCCTATTCCTATCCCCTCCATTAGTCTTCCTGTGCCTATACTGGGGCTGGGGATCTGGCCCTAGACTTGGGGCCTTCCTAGGAGGGAAACAGGAACAGGAAAGAGCTCTTGGCTGATGGCCTCTGATGGACCTCACCTTCTCCAGGACAGAATAAGCCCTGCCTCTAAAGGGTCTACCTGAGGTGAGGGCAGGAGGGATCCTGCTCCCCAGGCAGCCCAGTTGGGCCCAGGATGGGTTGGGGGGAGTCATGTGGAAGCCTAGAGAAAGCAGCCCTGGGCCTCTGAGGAGTGTGGCACCAGTGGAACTGAAGCAGAGCTGTTTTCCACCAAGAGTCTGAGGGCAGTGGGCACATGGAGCTCCCCTAGCAGCTCTACTGGTCCACACCTTTAACCTGGCTCCTTCTGCTCCAGAACCACCTCCCGGAAATGCCTTCCCTCACGGGAACTCTGTGGATGCCACAGGACTGACCGGAAGTTGATTTCATCTTGGCGCCAACAGCCTGTTGATTGATGATGGTGGCTCCCAGAAAGGAATGGTTAATCAGACACCTCTACCAGGGCTGGGAGAGGAGGGGAGAAGAGGGAGCTGCGTGAGGCCCACAGCGGCACTGTGCAACCCTGGGGGACGTGGAGAAGATCAGCTTACTGCAGTTTTATGGGGTAATGTTTTTTTTTGGGGGGGGGGCCTCCACCAACATCTTTTATTAGTATAATTTATACAGCAGAATCACAATATCGGTTCACTGGGGGTCAAACTACAGTCAACCTAGAGAATTATAAGTATAGCTGCTTAGCTAAGATTGATCCAACAGGGAAGTGAACAGTTGAGATGTGTTCTCACCTTCTGCACCTACTCCCTTGAGCTCTCTCTCTCTCTCTCTCTCTCTCTCTCTCTCTCTCTCTCTCTCTCTCTCTGCCAGCTCAGCCCACCCTGGGGGCAGGGTGGTGCCAGGAATCGAACTGCGGTCCCTGCGCTTGCCTAAGCTTGCCTAAGCAGGCACTTTAGACCACTGAGCTATCTTGCCGGCCTTGCTTGTCTACTCATGTCTACTTAACTTAGCTGTCTGTGGCACTGAGACCGGCAGAGACTGCCCAAGGGGATATCTGCATGGCTAAGCATGCTCCCAGACCACATTCTCCTTGGCTCACCCCAAGACCTCTGAACTGAGAGCTCCGTGTTTTTATGGGGTAATGTTAAGGTAGGAAAAGTATCAGCCCCAGAGCCAAGTAGAGAATAGACCATGGGCTCCACTACGTTACTTCTTAAAACCTGAGTCCTGCTAGGGCGAGGCAGGCAGCAGGATGCCTGCCTGCTGACCACGCCCCAACCTGGTTCGTTCTTTGTCAAGTATCAGAATCCCACATATGCACCCTGTGCTGGGCAGCACCTGCCCTGGCGTCCAGCTGCTGGGCTCCACCACTGCTGTCCTGTGCTTCCTGGGGCCCAGAGTGGTGGCCTAGGACCTGCGTGGCTGCCTTCTCTGCCCCACTGCAGCTACCCGACTGCCCTCCCCAGCCCATTTCTCTTTCTGACCAATGCTTTTGACCTGGATTTAGAGGAGAAAACCAATTTTATGATTTCCTCAGTGAAAATATTTTCTAAAAAGACCCATTTTGAACCTTAGAAAGATTATTTTTTTTCTTCTTCTTCTTTTTTTTTTTTTTGGTACCTACCAGGGATCAAACTCAGGACCTTGCACTTGCTAGACAGGCACTTAAGCTGCTGAGCTATTGCCCCAGCCCTAATTATTTTTTCATGTAAGTAAATTCATACATCAGGTCTTTTGGCCGGTTGTCTTTGTTTCTGCTTCAACAACATTTCACTCTTGCAGCTGCTCAGTGCCTTCAGACCTGACCTTGACCTGGCTGAATTTTCTCCTGGAAAGGATGTGCATGGATGTGCCCTCTACCACGGGCCCTCCATATCACCCTGACCACATCACTGTACTTCACATGACCGTGGTTGGTTCCCTTCTTGTCTCTTGTGGATGGTTCCTCATGTGAGCCTTCAGGCAGGAGCTTTGCTTGTCCTGGGCCCTGTCTGTCCCCTGCACCTGGAAGGCACTTGTCGCCCTACAGGTGTGTAGAAGCTTCTTGAATCCACCTTGATTTCTAGTTCTAGTTCCTTATTCCTGGCCACTGCTCCACCCAGAAACTGGTAAATCCAAGGACCCCTTCCTGATAGGACTCTAAGTAAATGACTGATGAATGTATGTTTCCCATCTGCTAAGGGTTACAGAAGGACTGACTCAAGCCTTGGTCCTTTTTGCAAATGGACCCAGAGGATCCTGACCACCAGGGGCTGTGTCAGCATGCAATGGTTTCCCTTTCCCACTAGAGGGCGGCCATTCCTCCTGGGTGACTTCAGGGCCCTGGAGGTGGGAGAAGACAGTTTCCACCCACTGGCATCCGGGAACATGCCTCAAGGGTCCTTACAGCCCCAGGCCTTCTCCCAGCACAGACTGACCCAGTCCCTGCAGGGGCCGGGCCTCCACTTGCTGGGTCAGAGAATTCCCAAGGAGGGACTGGTCCCCGTTGGCCCCTGCTTCTGCTGGAATTTCCCGTTTCCTGGAAAGAGCAGGAGCTCATGGTTGCTGTCACTTTAACAGAAGCTAAGAGGATGCAGCCTGTGGAAGACCCCTGAGACACCCCGATTTCTGAGTTCAGAGTTCTAGTCAGCCTGCGAGCTGGGTGCCCTCTGTGAGGTGCCATCTTGGCTGTTGCTCTGTTCTCACGGTGCAGCCTTTGTGTGGCTGGAGGCCTCGCTCCTTCTGTGCCCACTGCGGAAGGCACCGCGTCTCCAGCACCCCGTGGCGGAGCTGAGCTGAGATGGCCCAGGGCTGGGAATGTTCTCAGAGCCCTTCCATTTCCACCAGCCTCATTTCAGCCTCCCGCACTTAACCTTCCAGCCCCTGGGTCACTGTCTTCTCCCCTTCCCAGAAGCTGATGCTCCTTCAGCTCCCAGGGTGGCAGTGGGAGGATTCAGACGATACAGTGAGCAGCTCCAAGCACTTGCCCCAACCATGTCCCAGTCCTCTATCCCAGCCACATCTAGGGCTTGTCAGACCCGACCCTGTCCTTAGTGGTTCAGTCTGGGGCTTGATGTGCGTGCGTGCGTGCGTGCGTGTGTGTGTGCATGTGTGTGATCTCTGTGTGTGTAGGTGGAGAGTCACCCAAGGCCAAGGATCAAATCTGCCCAGTGGGATGGGCCCCCTCACCTCCCCAAAGGATCCTCGCTCTCACTGTAGGAAGTCAAACTGGTGGGAGCTCCTAGCTGCTGCCCTGCACTACATACCTGGGTGCGCACTGGCTGCTGTGGGACTTCACAGCTGCCCCCACTTCCCCAACTTGTTCTGCGTGTGCACATGGAGGCTGGCCCGCACACCCACGGGTGGTTTCCCATCTATGCACCCAGCCCTGCCCTGGAGCGCTGTACCAGAGGGCTGGTCCTCACCTTCCCCATACAGAGATTCCTATTCACCTCCTGTTGTGAGAACATGATCCTGGAGTGAAAGGAAGGTGCCAGGGGTGGGTGAGAGCAGCTAGCATCTGGCTTTTCCAGGGCTGCCCATGGCCAGACCCTCGTGCGACAGACACTGTCTGTACAAGAACAAATAAGCAACGGACACAGTTTCCTCAAGTGACATATCTCAATATAATCTCTAAAACTCTATGAATTGAACAGATAAAATACCTCTGGGCTATTTTGTTACAAAATATTTGCCATTTGGATTAATTGCTGGGTGCAGCCACCCTGCCTTTCCCTAGAGAGGCATCTCTCCAGCAGGGTGAAGGGTGCGCGCAAGGAGGGGTGCAGTGAGAAGAGAGGTCCCCCAGAACTCAGGGACAGACAAACAGATGGTCACCAGGGAAGCCTATTGGCTACAAGAGCGATCCTGGCAGGCTCTGGTGCACAGGTGGTGGGGAGGGGGAAGGTCCAGGACCCAAGTGTGTGGAGGAGGAAGATACCTTTGAGATAGACAAGCAGACAGAGAGCAGGCTTCCAGGACAAGTGGTGGACGGCCCACTTCAGGTCTGGCAGTGCGACTTGCCCTGAAGGGGTGAGGGAGCTAGTTTCATCTCCCACTCTTGATGCTGGACTTGGGCCAAATGGATAAAATGGGAGAGGAGCCCAGGTCCCCCAAAGTAAGGCCTAGAGGGTGGATGAAGTGGGGCTGCCTCAGGGTGACGGGTCAGCACGGCACTGCCCTTAGTCTTGAGAGGGCAGGAGGGCCCCTGAGCATCTCTGCTGGGCCCTCTGGGAGGCCCTGATGTGGCTGCTCCCACAGGGAGGCCAGAGGACATCCCTAGTTTCTGGGGAGGAGACAGAGAAGGGTCCCAGCCTATCCTGCTGACCAATGAAGGAGGAGGCTTCAGCAGCTGGGAACTCCAGCTTGCCCATCGGTGAGGAGGGCGAGCCTCATCTCCTGTCCTGACTCTTCCTGGGTTGGTGTGGCCAACCCCACCTAGTCTCTTTCTGTGCAGGAGGCCCTTGTTGCCCACGGAGCCCAGCAAGGCAGGATGGGCCTCTGACCTGGGCAAGGGGCTGGGTGCCTGCACATTGAGTCAGCCCTGAGACCATGGTTGCTGCCACAAGGGAAGCTGGGCTTTGGCCAAGTACGCGGGGGTGGGGTGGGGGGAGACAGGCATTGCTGTGCCTGCCCACAGGAAGTGGGCACTTTGCTCACACAGGGAGCAGGTTCAAGGCCCTGGCAGTGGGTGTGAAGCTGTCTGTGCTGTCCCTTCCTTCTTCAGCAGCCTGGACGCCAACGGTGCGCGCGCCATCAGTACCTTTGGCTGCACTTGCCACTCACGTTCTTTCCTACCTCATACCTTGCTTCCTGTTCACAGTTTGGGCTGTTTTCAGCCCCTCACTCATGAGTCCCCCACTCCCACCCCCACAGCTCCGTCACCCCTGGAGACTCTGATGTCTCCCACCCTGGCTCAGGGTCTGGATTGTGGGCCCCTCTGTCAGCTCTGTCACTCTCCTGCAGGCTCCTGTCCAAGCATCTCTGTTTGGCATGGCCCCTGGAGGGCCTGAGGCAGCCGGGATGAGCTAAACAAATGGACTGATGAGGCAGTCACAAGGGACACAGCTAATGGGTCCCAAGTTATGGAAACAGGGCTGACAAAGCCAGCGCCAGAAATAAACCCAGTGTGTGATCTCACGGTGACGTCTGGGTGTGCACACACGTACACAGGAAACTAGGTCACCTGGCCCCTCGGAGGGTGGGGATTATTCTTGCCTCCTGCCTGGCCCAGGCTTCGGCGGCATCGGGCACGTGCCAGGGCTGGAGAAGCCAGTATCTATCACATTTCCTTGGAGGCTTTCTAAATGGGCTCTGAAAGGGAGGGCTGGGATGTAGCTGCAGGCACAAGACCACAGTGGGGCCGCTTGCAGCACACGGTTTCTGCTGTCTGTCCTCGGGCTGGGGCTTTGCGGACACCTAAGGCTGGCTCTCTGCCGCTATTCATTATGGGAGGCCAGCAGCCCTGCTTGGCTCTCTTTTGTGACATCAAGGGACTCAGCCAGTCACGCCGGAGGCATTCTATGCCTTCAGAGAGGACTGCAAAGGCTAAGACTGCTGGGAGACTTGAGTCCCCAGGGGCCCCACTGCTCCTGGTCCAAGTTCTTCCTGGAGGCCACTGAGTCATGCAAGGGGCAGCCGGGACTCTGAGCCCAGGAGAACCTCTACCAGAACCCCCACTGGGTAGATCCCCTTGTTTCTGTGGAAACAGTGGAAGAAACTAGCCTGGTTCTCGTGTGTTTACATGCCAATGCCTGTGTGCACTTGGCTTTGCCTGGGTCTTACGGGGGCTGGCTGGGGAGCTACTAAATGACTTTTAAAAGCACATCTTACAGAGACAGAACCTCATAATGTCATGGCCCCACTGAACTGACGTAGAGAGCCAAGTGTTCCTCTTGCCTCCTCCTCTCAGAGCTTTCTTGAAGCTGGGGCAGCTCTTGAGAAGGCTCTTGGAAGAGGGGCCCAGGACAGCTGAAGTCCTTGAGGACCCAGGAGCAGCTTCTTGAGACTGGTGGGCCAGAAGACAGGGGCGTAGAACCAACTCCTCCTTTGGCCTCCTGCCAGCTGGACCCCCAGGGAGCTGGGGCTACCCTCCTCACTTAGCCCCGCCACAGGTGCACCTGGCTGTGGGCCGCTGGCCACCCTCCATCCTGGGCATGCTGCTGCAGCTGGTCACCCAGGCCTCTTGCTCCTGCTCATGGGCAGAGGCTTGGCCATAAACAGACTTCAAGCCTGCAAGCTACTCAGCCCCTCAGCTCGGAGTTTCCTTGCTCCATGGCCCAACTGGGAAGAGTGGTGGCCCGAGATGTCACCTTGCCTGGCTGTGCAAGGCCTTGGGAGAGGGAGGCGGTGTCTCCAGGTTTGGGGGTGCTTGCTGAGTAAGGGCAGGATGGCTGGATCAAGCATGTCCACATGCCAGGGATCAGGGTTCTCTTTCCAAACAGTGGTTGGTGAGCAGGAATGCCAGGACATGGGGTGCAGCTGAGTCCCCCTCTGGTGGCCAGCCTTCCCAGGGCAGCAGCCTGCTGGGGGCAGAGCTACACCAGGCTCCTGGAGCCGCTGGAGTAGCGCCTCCGGTGCAGCAGGGAGCCGGGTGGGCAGAACTGGTGAGGGTGGTTGTAAGGGGGTGGGGGTGGAGGCAGCGGAGGCTGGTGGATGACCTTGACCGGGGACCCTGGGCCGCCCAGAGGTGTGGAGCCGCAGGAATGAGAGGAGGACGAGGTGTAGCAGGAGAGAGCCTGGCTCAGCAGGGGCTCCATGCGTGCCAAGCAGGGCTTGTCCAGGACAATGACCTTGACAATCTGCTGGCACTGCACCAGGGTGCCTGGGGGTGTGGGTGGCAGCGGCGGCAGTGGTGGGGGCTGCTCTCTCAAAGGGCTAGGCTGCGGGTCTGGCAGTGGCGCTGGCGCTCCCCTCTCGGTCCCCAGCCTGGAGTTGTGCTGGGACGTTTGAAGCCTGTTGTGAATTGACACCTAGTTTAGAAACAGCCAGAGAAGCATGACACGTTACAGACGAGTTCCCAGGGCTGGGCGGGCTGCTCCGAGCCTCCCTTTGCCTCCCTCCCTTGCACCCATCTCTGCAGCCTCTGCTCCACTCTGTATCCAGAGGAAAGCCGGCTGTGACCCTGGTTCTTCTGACCAGGGAGAACAGAGCTCGGAGCCTGAGGGTGGGTTAACTATGTCTATCATCAGAAAGACGGGCTCCGCCTGCCTCTCTAGGCATGAAGCGTGAGAAGCTGGCAATGCCTGTGGGTCCTCCCTGCTTCCCAGTGCTGAGCTTAGCCAAGGAGGGCAAAGCTAAGCATTTCTGATCCTTCCCAGATCCCTTCTCCCTCCTGTTTCTTTAAAGAGAGAACCTCATCATATTGATATCACGGAAGGTACCCAAACCTCAGAATGCCAGAGACCACTGAAGGGGTATTCTGGACCTGTTCTGTCTTCCCACACACCATGTTCTGTCTTCCCATACACCATGTGTCCATGGCCCTACATTCAAGCCAACCGGCACATCTGAAGGCAGAGTTGGTTGCCAGAACCCACCTTCCTTTCAACCCGAGCTGGGTTCTGGTTAAGGCTACCTGGCAGCAGGAGGTGGGGAGAGTCAGAGGGACTGTGGCCTTTATCCCTGGGGTGCAGGAGGAGGTGTCCCAGGGCCCTTGGGACACCCCCCCCCCCCGCAGGCCACAGGGGTCAGTGTGAACTTGCCTGGCCTTGTCTTGCTAGCAATGGGAGGTGGCAGAATTGAGCATAGGGATATTAGAGCATTCTAGAAAGACAAGGATGTAATTCCTCCCCATGTCTCTACCCCCAAGTATCCCAAGTAGGAGCTGTGACACCGTACAAACCCTCCAGACACCTAGACCCTGTGGGGAGGCTGAGGCCCTGGCTCTCAGGATGTTTTCAGTTGGTTTGCTGTCTGGCCTGGGCTCTACCACCTACAGCCCGCTGCTCAGAGCACAGAAAGGACATCAAAGCTGCAGGCGAATAGACCTTAACCCAGGTCAGCCCTGTGTCTTTGGGGATCCAGCACTTCCTGGCTCCACTTGCTGGACAAGGGAACATTGCCGAGGGTGCTCCTGGATCTGACCGCTCCTAGATGCTAACGCCCCTGGCAAGGCCTGAGCTCTTCCGCTGCTCCAACACAGTAGTCTGCGTGTTGCAGGCTTTATCATCCTCACACTGAGCCACACTTTTCCAGCCCCAGGATCCCCTAAATGAGTGAAGACCCTTGCTGTCCTGCTGAGACACACAGCAGACAGAGAGCAGACAAAGGTACAGCCAGAGGCCGCTTCATCTTGGGGACCTCTGTGATTCTTATCCTAAAGAAGGCCTCTGTCACCACCACTGCCGAAGGGCATGCATGCACTCCCAACTGTTCAGGGAGAGAAACGTGGCCTGAGGCCACCAGACCAGGCTAAGAGAGCTCTACCTCCCTTCACAGCCACCCCGCCTCAGGCAATGCCTGGCCACCCAGTCCAGACCAAGGGGCTGATTTCTACTTGGCTGATGCTTGACCTTCAGCCTCTGGCCTCAGCCTAGGCTTCCTGTCCCACTCCCACGTGTGGGCTCTGCCTCCACTGTGGGTGCCCCCAGCCCCCCAACCCCAGCCTGGGTCCTTCATCTTTAATGGTCAGTAAGTGAAAAGCAGGATGTGACAGCAAAATTGTGTTTGCATTGTAACCCTCTTCTCACTCCCTGTGCAGGAAAGAGGGAGGGAGGGAGGCGAGAGAGAGAGAGAGAGAGAGAGAGAGAGAGAGAGAGAGAGAGAGAAAGATGAGTAGCAGGTCAGAACAGCTCCGAGAAAATGGACAAGCGCCTGCCAGAGGGGTCGGCCAGGCAATGATGGAGAGGGCAGAGGACGAGAGCTTGGGGTCCAGCAGAGAGGCCATGGGGCGGCAAGGCTGTCCTCTGTGCAGGGGAGCGGGGCTGGCAGGGCCCTGGAGCTAGCTGAGGGGAGGGGGCCTTGCAGATAGCCACACGGCCCCTCAGGACAGGGACAGGTGGAGGGAGGGAAGACAGACTCAGATCTCCAGTCCCCAAGGTCCCTGCTGCGCACCTGGGGCCAGGGCAGGGGCAGGGCTGGCAACTTGGAGTGTCTATCTGCAAGGCTGAGATGGGCAGCTGTGGGAAGATGGGAGAGGAAGGTGGGGATGGAATACCCACCCAGGGGCTGGCCAGCTGCCGGGCGGAAGCTCCTCCGAGTAGGGGTGCCTGCTCCGGACACTCGTGTGTGGGGGTGGGGGCCGTGGGGGTGGGGAGGAAGCTGAGCTCCTAGGGCGTTCTGCAGTGACCAGGGCTCAGCAGCCTGGCAAGAGGGGCTCCTTCCTCACATCTAGGGGGCCTCCAGCTGGAAGTGGGACTGGGAAAGGTTTGTCTGTATGAGCAACTGGTGTCCTGGTGGCAAAGATGCGGGTTGGGGCTTGCCAGGGTGCGGGGGGGGGGGTGTCAGTGTGGGGGCTGTGGCACAGCTGGACTTGCTGGGACAGCTGCATACTCCCCCTCTGGGAGGACCTTGGGGCCGGCAGGGACCCGCATGTCCTTTCCCAGTGTCCTTTCCTTCCAGGACAATCCCAGCCCTGCTCAGCCACATTCACATGTCCACACCCCTACTACAGCCACCTTCATGGGGGACCAGCTGGTTCAAAGAGAAACCCCTTCTGTGACCTCATTCAGCACTCCAGCTTCTGAAAGGTGTCCACAGAGCACCACCTGGGACCTGACTCGAGTGACTCTCCAGGGGGAGCCCTGGCTCCCTCACATGGGGGAAAGGAACACAGGGTTCTCTGGCCAAGCAGAGCTTTGTGTAGAGGGGAGTGGGGTACAGGAGGACCGCTGTGAGGTGCGGTGGGCGGGCTCCCTGGGAGGGGGCTGGGCTGGGAGTGGGCGGAAGGTGCTGGCAGATTAACTAGACGCTGGAAGAGTGGTGTTACTCGTGCTAGCAGTAACTTTTAATTGTATCTCTTGAAATGGGTAAAATGGTGAGTCGGGCTGGGGAGGCACTGATTAATACCTGAGAAGAGAAACAACAGAGAAGGTGAGAAGAAGGACAGGGGGCACGAAGACACTCGCCTGGATGCGCCAGGCCTCTACTTACCTCCCCGGGGCTGTCCGTGGGCTTCTCCCCCAGCGCGGCGTCCCTCTTGGCTTTGAAGGTAAACAGCACAGCGCTCATTCTCTACCAGTCCCGACTGGGCCGGCCCACCCTCCTCCTCCTCCTCCTCCTCCTCCTCCTCCTCCT